GTTTGAAGGAGTCCTCTAGTCTTGTATTTGATGGGCTGTCCAGCCCAAGTCTCTTTTAAAGGTCAAGAACCTTAAGACCCCAGGAAGGGAGAGTAGAAGTGGTCCAGAAGTCTCCCATCAACTGAACACCTGGAGAGCAGACTGAGCAGAAGGGCTGGCCCACCCAGGAAGCAAGGTGAGACAGCTGCCTTAGGCAGCAGAATCCACTGGGGCAACAGATCACAATATCAATCTTACTTCTACCCTTGTTCCTAATGTAGATCTTCCCTTGCCCCTTCTTCCCTAGTGGCAAGAGGGGAGCCATTTTTTGGTCTGCCTCAGGTGCCAAAATGACTTGGGCTGGCCCTGCTGCGCAGACACACCTGGTCACAACCTTCCCCACTTTGGTGGCGAGATAGATTTCTATTTTAATTACAATTATTTCCAAACATGCATCCATACATATAAATGGCCATGTGCAAATTTTATTCAACTATGTGCCCTCTTTCTTGTGTAAGCGTCATCGCTCCGTTGACCATGCAAAGGGGCAGGATCTCAGAATAGTTGGTACCATGCCTTGTCAATCTAGAGACTCCTCCCGGATCCTTTCTGCTGCTACACTGAGCTAAGCCAAGAGGGCCAGTGTGGTGTAGTGGTTAAAAGCAGTGGACTCGTAATCTGGTGAACCGGGTTCGCTTCCCCGCTCCTCCACATGCAGCTGCTGGGTGACCTTGGGCCAGTCACACTTCTCTGAAGTCTCTGTGCATCACTCTCCTCACAGAGTGTTTGTTGTGGGGGAGGAAGGGTGTGATGGCCTGGGAATCCGATTCAGAGGCTGAACCGGAGGAATCCCGGCCTGCATAGGAGTCCCCGCCTCCAGAGCCAGCTGAGCTGGGGCAGGGCCTTGCATCTGAAGCACCTGCACCTGTGCCAGATCCTCAGGAGCAGGCACCAGGTGAATCCACTCTGGCTCCGGAGGTGCTTGAGGACCCATTGCCTGCAGGTGCTCCTCTCCCAGCCCTGTCAGGGGAAGGTGAGTCTCCCCCTGGATCCAGTAACCCTCCAGCCTCTCCTGAGCTGCAGAGGCTCAGGGCAGAGAGGTGGAGTGAACTGGTTTCTCCCAGGAGGAGTGCTCACCTTAAGGCCAGAAGAGGTGGGTCACCTGGGGGCCGGGACCACCCCTGGCCTCAGAGAAGATAAAGGCCAGTCAGCCCGGTCCCAGGTTGCGGGAGCAACGTCGCTGGAAACCTGCTACTGCCAGCACCCAGTCCTGTTCTTCCAGAGTTCCCAACCACGCCCAGCTTCTTGCTTTGGATCCCGCTTCGCCCTGTGTGGACTGTCTCTAGACCCGTGACCCAGGACCGGAATCTGACCACGCCTCACGGTAACCTCCCCCCGGGACCAGCACAAAGGGAAAGGAGAATGTTAGCCGCTTTGAGACTCCTTTGTTGTTGTTGTTTAGTTGTTTAGTCGTGTCCGACTCTTTGTGACCCCACGGACCAGAGCACGCCAGGCACTCCTGTCTTCCACCACCTTCCGCAGTTTAGTCAAACTCATGCTGGTAGCTTCGAGAACACTATCCAACTATCTCGTCCTCTGTCATCCCCTTCTCCTTGTGCCCTCCATCTTTCCCAGCATCAGGGTCTTTTCCAGGGAGTCTTCTCTTCTCATGAAGTGGCCAAAGTATTGGAGTCTCACTTCAGGATCTGTCCTTCCAGTGAGCACTCAGGGCTGATTTCCTTCAGAATGAATAGGTTTGATCTTCTTGCAGTGCATGGGACTCTCAAGAGTCTCCTCCAGCACCATAATTCAAAAGCATCAATTCTTCGGCGATCAGCCTTCTTTATGATCCAGCTCTCACTTCCATACATCACTACTGGGAAAACCATGGCTTTAACTATACGGACCTTTGTTGGCAAGGTGATGTCTCTGCTTCTTGAGACTCCTTAGAGTAGTGATAAAGCAGGATATCAAATCCAAACTCTTCTTCTTCTTCTTCTAAGCCAAGGCATGCCATCTGAACCAGGCCTTGCGGTTAAGCTCCGTCTTCACTAACCACAAACTGAACAAATCTTGGTTACAGCTTGTGGTTAAGCGAAGAGGGAGATAAAACCAAGACACCTGGTTTGGACAGCACGCTAAGCCAAATCTTGGCTTAGCTCAGTGCAACAGCAAATAGGAACAGGGAGGAGCCTCTATATCAGCCATAGGCAAACTCAGCACTCCAGATGTTTTGGGAGCACAATTCCCATCATCCCTGACCACTGGTCCTGTTAGCTAGGGATGATGGGAGTTGTAATCCCAAAACATCTGGAGGGCCGATCTTGCCTATGCCTGCTCTATGTTTACAGTCTCACTGAGCCCTAATTTTGGTTAGCGAGATTTTGTGCGCACTTACCAAACAAGCCACAGACATACCGCAGCATGCCGAAAGGTTAGCTGAGTCATGGTCTGATCCCATCAAGCATTCACATCAGTCTGACACATTGTGTCTGTAAAGTCTGCATGCATTATGGATGCAGCAAATGTTAAATGGGAGAAGAATGGAATCCTCAGATTTTCAGTGTGTCGTGAGGGTAGAACTGGTTGCCCGTTAATGAAAGAGCAAAAAATAACAGGCATTCACCTGGTTTATCTCAATGGTCTGGTCAGCATCCCATGTGCTTTGATTGGGATCGAGAGGAACATTCTTTTATATTTAGTGGGCATGTACGGTAATTAGAACGAACGAACACACACACACACACTCTTTGTGTATATATATATAGATCATGGCTGTTAAAAATACAATTAAAAAATTCCTTCTAGGAGCACCTTAGAACAAACTTAGTTGGTCTCTAAGGTGCTACTGGAAGGAATTTTTTTATTTTGTTTCAACTACGGCAGACCAACACGGCTACCTACCTGTATTAAAAATACATCTATGAGATTCTTTTAATTATATTTACATGTGCAATGGTTTTAACTGTTGTTATATAGGCATTTGTCTTGCATGTGGTTTTTATTCCAGTGTGGTACTTGCATCAAGAGGCTTCACAGGAAGCAATTTACAAATGACACAAATAAATAACAACTACTAAGAGCCTAATTTTTCTTTTCTTTGTTGGTAATTTTTTGTTCCTCGTCCAGCTACCCCCTAACTCTTGGTAACAACTTGCCTAATGAAGAGCTCGGGAAGCTTGCCACATTTGGTGGGATCTTTTCACTTGGCCCTAATCAAAATGTTAACTATGGGTAGGCTTCAGAGAGTGCTTTCCCCCTTACAGATACATAGGATTGTGGGAAGTTATCATGTTTGTTTATTGCTGATTTATAGGGATAGGGAGAGACAGAGAGAGAAAAACAGGAGCAGCAAACTTGGTGCTTTCTCCTCAAGTGAAAGATCCAATGAATTTTAAAAGGCAGCCAAATTGATTTTTACTATTACTATTATCCTTACTATTAATTCCTGAGTTTCATGCATTGATTAGTTTTCAAGCACTGCCTTTTAATGAGAAGGCTGGACAAAAATATTGTGCCTGTTTGAGTAGAGAGAAAGCAAAAATGTTTGCATGTCTCAGAATTCTCACATTAAAGAAAAATTGGAAGCAAAGTTTCCTGACTCCTCCTCAAGTGAAAAATTTGTGGGAGTTCAAGGGCAGCCAAGCAGAGACTCTAGAAGAACAATGCGACATTTCCCCTGGGGCCACTGGCTGTCATAACTGTTTGCCTAAATTGGAACAGGAAGCAAAATGGGGAGGTTCCCCCCACAGCAGAACCTCTGAAGAATTTTGAGGGAAGCCAAAAGTATGTGTGTGTGCAGATAAAATGCATTTTAAAGGAAACACTTCTGAATTCAGAAATAAGGAATTGGCTTTGTAAAAGGTTGTTGTTGTTTAGTTTAGTCGTGTCCGACTCTTCGTGACCCCATGGACCAGAGCACGCCAGGCACTCCTGTCTTCCACTGCCTTCCAGTTTGGTCAAACTCATGCTGGTAGCTTCAAGAACACTGTCCAACCATTTCGTCCTTTGTCGTCCCCTTCCCCTTGTGCCCTCCATCTTTCCCAACATCAGGGTCTTTTCCAGGGAGTCTTCTCTTCTCATGAGGTGGCCAAAGTACTGGAGCCTCAGCTTCAGGATCTGTCCTTCCAGTGAGGACTCAGGACTGATTTCCTTCAGAATGGATAGGTTTGATCTTCTTGCAGTCCATGGGACTCTCAAGAGTCTCCTCCAGCACCACAATTCAAAAGCATCAATTCTTCGGCAATCAGCCTTCTTTATGGTCCAGCTCTCACTTCCATACATCACTACTGGGAAGCTACCTTTTAAAAGGTAGGTAGAGAGAAAAGCAGGCAGTTTAAGGAAAATAAAAGCCAAAAGGTAGAAGACAAGACAGGTTCACCTTCTCCAATATGCCCTCTGCTTGAATACTGCCATATACTGAGGGCCTGAGGAAAAGGGATGGAAATATCAGTCCATTTCAGTTACCTAATTTCTTCATTATTCCAATCCTACATTCAGTTCTCTACATTTCTGCAGCAATTTGAAACTAAGATGTTTCTTATGCAATTTGTGTGCTGCTTCAAACTGTTTTGAATACTGTGTTTCAGTTGTTGCAACCTGCCCTGGGACCACAGGTGAAGGTTGATAAATTAACAACAGGACATGACTGTGAATTTCTCCCAATAAAGACATTTTTGTATGCCGTTTTGAGCAATGTACACATTTTGCAAGCAGTTTGCCCTACAGGATGCTATTTTTCGTATGTTATTTTCCAGGAATAGGTTCCTTTTTAGGCACATTTCCCCCAAATACATTGTTTGGTTGGAGAACGGCATTGCAAAATCCAGATAACTGCAAGTTGTTTCCTTGTGCACATTTGATAGATTTATTTTTCGGGTGAACTGAATCAAATGTTCACCCATCTGCTTATATATCAGAGCTGATGGGAGGTATAATCATTTCCTTACACTGGACACTTATTAGGGTTTACAGAGAAATCCTAATGTCTACTACGAAACAGAATTCAATAGGACTCACACCCAGTCAGTTCACTCATCCTCACTTCCCCTTTTGTGAAATGGAACCAAGAGGAATTTGGACAGGCTTTGCGCAGTAAAAAAACCACACTGTGTAAAAGTAGTATTTTATTAATAATGATACTCAATGGCCCCTGGCAGGCTCAAAGTTTTTTGTTCCAGAAATTTCTCCTAAGGGACAATTGAGTGATAAATTCATATTGAACAAAGGTACATCCAGACAGAATGAAATCAACCAAGGAAGACTCTTACACCGACAACAAATTGGCTCAGCAAAAGACACTATTGTGTATCCTTCGTTTAGATGGAAGTTATCACTTAGAATGATAAGAGGTGGGAGGGCCATCTAAGTCCAGCCCCCTGCAATGCAACTTGCTTATAGAAAGGGACCTACAATCAATTCTGATATAATTTGTGTTTTACGCTCCCATGGTCTGTTCCAGCAATTCCCTGCAGGCGAGGAGCTCTGATGCCCATGCGGAGCTCTTCAACTTGCCAGGGTTCTCTCGGTCATCTTTATGGGGGAGCTCCATGCACGCTAAGATACATGCACGCAAGCAGCGAGGATCCATGCGCACGATATGCTAGACCAGACACCGTTGTGGGCTCCCCTTAGTTGCTTCACCTGGATGCATGGAGTGGCCTGTCATTATGGGAAGGATCGACACAGGTACGCAAAGCGTTGTCTCAACAAACCAGCTCCTCCATTAGACTGAGTGGGGACAGAATGATGTGGAACCATAAAGACAGACGGCTCAATGGCATGGTGGGCATTAATACTCCTTACTTCGTCCCCCAATTTTTTTCCAAATTACACATGACCATCAAACCCCCTCTCGCCGTAGATCAAGAAATTATTGGCCACCAGAATGTTCATTGTGGGCTGATTCTAGCTTAGCATTGCCACTGGGGACAACACCCACAAAATGCTTAGAAGCTGGATGCAAGTTATCAAAAGAACTAGTAGGAGGCTCCTAAGTTTGGTCTGTGCAGGCATGCTCAAGCGCTTTTGCGCATGCGGCGGGGGAGTGCAAATTCCCCCTTCCCTCGTACTGCAGTGAACATTCAAGCGCTCTTAACTGTCAAGGGGAATGAAGGCTGCCTACCAGTTCAATCGCACCCCTTTCCCAGTGCGCAGCACTTTTCCAAGCCAAGGGTCGCGTTGTTGTCTGGCTAACCTTCCAGGGAGCCACATGGCATGGCAGGCAGGGACAGAGGCATGGGTCACCAGGAGCAAATTTCACCCTTGTACAGTAGGCTGCTTTTTACGTCCATTCACACAAACAAGGAGCCCTCTCTGCGCTTCATCCAAGCAAGCAACAGGCATTGCCAAGAGCTCAAGGACACATTCCAGCCAGGTCTAAAAAGCTTGACAGGGTGAAGCAGAGACAGCAGAAGTGTGTAGCCAGGACAGTGTCCCAAGGCTCAGAGATTCCTCCACAAAAGCTTTCATTTATTAGTGTCCTGGGACTATTCTGTGCCTGTGTAAGAGTCAAAAAGAAAGCAGCCCTCTAGGCAACATGAACACCAGAGCAGCCACGGAACGGGGTTCCTTATATAATTTGCTGATTGCAAAGTGAAGGGCTAACATTATGTAAGCTGCCAACATTTCATTTCTACTTTATTTTTTACATTTCACTTGACTTGTAATTATTCCTCCCCTCCCCCCCTCAAAAAAGCAGCCCTTAAGGGCTGCTTTATTTCTCTAATACAGTTTGGGCTGAGGATGATCAAAGAGAGAAAAGCCAAGGATGGCAGTCTACAAAGATCACAGTAAACGAAAGCAAAAAAAGGGGGGGGTGTTCCCAAGTGAGAGAGGAGAATAAAAATCTTCTTGGCTTGGAACATCAGAAACAAGGGGGGGGGGAGCATTTGGTCACCAGTTAGCACACTACATCGTCTCTTGTGTTGCATCGTGGCATTAGCTACATTCAGCAACACAGTTATGTACAGCTCTGGAAAATCTGACCCAGTTCTCTCCTGATAAACCACCCAAGGCTGATCCTAAACCATTCTCAGCCTTTTGTGGCCTCATCCTGCTTTCATACACCAGCACCTCCCATTTGCAATTCCCTACTTCCAGACTCAACAAGATCATCCAACGGTATGGTGAGCTGTGATCTTAGGGATGTGTGCAAATTATGGGCGAGATCCAAAGACTCCCTTCCTCTGGTGGAAGGAGGTTTCCTCCAACAGGAGCCCTTCTCTGAGAACATCTCACTTTTCGTGGACAGATGTGCTCCTTCTGCTGGAAGGAGGGGACCTTTAGATGCAACCTCCAAGCATGACCCATCCCCAACTGGTTGAAGCCTGAAGCCTTTGCTTTCACAGTGTGTACGCAAAACAATAACTAGGGCCACACCTGCACAACACCTTTAAAGTACTATGATGGCACTTTGTCACGGCTTCCTCCAAAGGATATGGGAACTGTAGTGTGTTAAGGGTGCTCCCCTCAAACAACTACCATTCCCAGAGTTGTTTAACAATAATCCTTCTTCCCAGTAAACTCTGGGAATTGTAGCTTTGTAAGGCGAATAAGGGGACGCGGGTGGCGCTGTGGTCTAAACCACTGAGCCTCTTGGGCTTGCCGATCAGAAGGTCAGCGGTTCGAATTCCTGCGACAGGATGAGCTCCCGTTGCTCGGTCCCGGCTCTTGCCAACCTAGCAGTTTGAAAGCACGTCAAAGTGCAAGTAGATAAATAGGTACTGCTCTGGCGGGAAGGTAAACGGCGTTTCTGTGCGCTGCTCTAGTTTCGCCAGAAGCGGCTTAGTCATTCTGGCCACATGACCCGGAAAAACTGTCTGCAGACAAACATCGGCTCCCTCAGCCAGTAAAGCGAGATGAGCGCCGCAACCCCAGAGTCGTTTGAGACTGGACTTAACGGTCAGGGGTCCTTTACCTTTACGGGGAATAAGGGTCTCTTAACAACTCTCAGTACCCTTGCTATTTTATTTGACGTTTGGAGATACGTATGTTCCGACATGTGTACACCAGCCACGTTTTTTTGGTGTGCAAACCCAACTACAAAAATGTAAAAGAAAAGAAAGGCCCTCTACACTTCCAGGCTTAATTGGCACTTTACCAATTAGAGTTGCCTCCACCGCCCAAAGCTCAGCCCTTCAGAGACTGTGCCACCTTAGAATGCAGACCAGCTCACAAGGAGCCAACCCATGGTTTAGTGTGGATGAGCAAATGTACAAGTTCCCGGAGCAAATGTCACTTTCAAATATTTTTATATATATTTTTTGAAGAATCTCAAGTTCCCAGAGCAAAGATCATGAACGCAGCAATTATCTGAGTTCTGGCTGTTGTTGTGCAGGCTTCCTCAAACTCGGCCCTCCAGACTACAATTCCCATCATCCCTGACCACTGGTCCTGCTAGCTAGGGATCATGGGAGTCGTAGGCCAAAAACATCTGGAGGGCCAAGTTTGAGGAAGCCTGCTGTTGTGCTACCTAGTGCTTAGCATGATGGGCTGATCCAGCCTTGTGGATCGCCTCCCCCAGAAAAAAAACGGGTTTTTGTAAACATGGGTTTTGTAAGCCTTGCTTACGACGAGTGTGTTGTCTGGAGCGAGACAAGCCATAAGCCAAGGTTTGAGCATAATGCTAAGCCACTGATAGCATTAGCAGAACCAGGGGCACTACCCGCCGGGTGCAATCTTTGGTTTGGCTAAGTGTTGTGTGTGGATAGTGTAGTATAACGCAGTTCCTCCCTCCACAAAGCTCCCTGTTCATAGAAAGCTAGCAGACCAAGAGGTTCTAATACGTCCCTGATCTGCTGCTTTTAAATTTGCAGTGAGACATTGGGGCAACTGTTCCCCAGCATTCTGAAGCAGAACAATATGAGGAGGCTGTATCGTGTCCTTTCTCTGAAGCTTAGATTGGCACGGAGTATCTTCTCAAGCATGTACATGAGCAGTAAGTGAAATTTAGGAATAAGAAAGCTAGGTGTTGCCACTTCATTCAGATGCTGACCATTCCACCACAATATGTGTGTAGTCAGGATCATTTCACACGTATCGGTAACAAACCCAGTCTTGCAACTTACTGCTCACTCAACAGGACCTGTATCCAAACCCAGGTCCCTAGCATGTGTGCCTATAGGATAGAGACTTTTTCAAACACCTATTTGTCCTCTAGACGTTTTATGTCTTTAGGTATACGGTTAAAGGCAGAGGTGGGGACCTTAAAATGTTATTTATCCATTTCTTGGATTTATATACTGCTTCTTTGTGGCTTAGGGCCCTAGCGTTTACGGGACCGCCTCTCCTGGTATGCCCTGCAGAGGACATAAGGTCCATGAATAATCATAGTTTAGAGGTCCCGGGCCCTAAGGAAGTCAGATTATCCTGCACCAGGGCCAGGGCCTTCTCAGTGATGGCTCCGAACTGGTGGAATGCTCTGTCCCAGGAGACCAGGGCCCTGGAGGATTTAACTTCCTTCTGCAGGGCCTGTAAGACAGAGCTATTCCGCCTGGCTTTCAATCTGAACTTAGCATGATCTTTTATTCCCCTTCCTTCCCTCCCCCTCCCTTTTTATGAAGATTACCTGCTCTGGGTTCCCACAGCTAATTCTCCCCTGGTCTCCTCGCTGGCCCAAATAGGACTAATTTAGCCAGCTAGCCCTGGTGATCATCTAATGTTTATTGGATGGATTTTTCCACAAACTGATTTTTGAATTCTGAATTTATTGTTATTCATGTTTTACACTGTATTTTATGCTGGTTTTGTTGCATCAAGTAAGTGTTTTAAATTTGTTGTTAGCCACCCTGAGCCCGGTTTTCTGAACCGGAAAGGGTGGGGTATAAATAAAAAGTTATCATTATTAACAATGCTATCAAGGTGGTTTGAGTGAAAAGGTCCCCCAATGGCCTGCTCATTTTTTTACCCACCCCTCATTTAAAAAAAAAGAACTGTTTAGGTAAGTCAGCAAGCCATGGAATAGACTGGAGTGTAATACTGTACTGAAAATTCCCCAGTGGACTTTTTTGCACACACACAAAAAAGGGGGGAGGTTCTGGGAACCAAAATTTCCCCACTCCCAAGTTAACCTTTTCACACCTGATCACTGATATTCAAAACGGCTCTTGGCTGTTGCTGCAGCGCTTACTTCTTGGGACTGAAATTCCAACCAATCAGGATTCACATTGCTATCAACATGTCATGTGGCAAACTGCATCACAAAGCCAATTGAGAGGAGGTGTGATCCTTCTTGTCCTCTCTCTGAAATGGCTTTGGGGTGGTGGCCACCCAGCCAATCAGATTCAGCTATGCGATGATGTGAAATAAGCCAGTTCCGAGGAAACTGCAGACAGCATCGTCCTTGCTGTTAGTAGCTGCTGGTGAGAAAGCCATGATCCAAACTCTTTTTGCAGCTTCCCTGAAGATCACTGAAAGGAGAGAGGCCTCCTTCATGGAGGGAAAATGCCCCTAAGATTTTCCCAATTTTGGCTCAGTATTATTCTGGTGTTCTCATATGAATAATTTCAGCGAGTGGTTATTGACCATGTAGCACTACAGATAAGCTCGTTATCACCAGATATGCGCGATATCAATTAACACAAAACCAAACACGTTGTTGCTTCTCACATTAGAAAATTACTCCAAAGTGGGAGCCACACTTGGGATGGGGGACAGGTTTATCCTGTCATATGTTGGCCACTGCAACTAGTAATGTAATTAAAAAGCGATGTTCCTCAAACTGGAATGAATGTAAACATTTTGAACTCACAATTTCCCAATTTCTATTTCAAATCCTGAACATAAAAATCTCACATCTGAAAACTGAATCCACATTCTGTATGTAAGAAGTTTCTACCTCCACATCTGAAACATGAGTGCTCCTCAAGTATCATAGTCTGGCAAGCAGCACCTTCTATGAAATCTCATATGCTGCCAAGCACTTAAAAGTGCCTGAAGCGCTTAAAAAACACCCACCAACCATTCTGAACATGTCAACTATCAAACTCTGAAAAATATCAAATGTTCAAACCAACTATCGTGGAAAGTCAAGTGCAGATATGTGTTAAGAGTCACAAGCTTTTAACTGAAGAACTGGCTAGGCTAAACTGATGTTGAACTGACTAAAAAGGCATCCCTGGTTAATTGGTCAACACTAATTTTTTTAAAAAAGTTAATTGTTTTTGTTATAACTACTTAGAAGAGGCATGCCTCTGTCACTTGCACACAGAGGACCATGCACACTGAAAAGAGTGTCAGAGTAGGACCTGGGAGAGCAGGGCTCAAATCCCCACTCAGCCTTAAAGCTCGCTGCGTGACCTTGCTCCAGTCACAGTCTTTCAGCTTAACCTACCTCACAGGGTTGTCACGAGGGTGAAAGTTGGGAAGAGCAGAACCATGTATGCTCCTTGGCAGAATGTAGTAAGAAAATTAAAGAATAAAAACATCACTTCTAAGGTGGCACCTACTGTAGCATATGCCATCTTAAAATACACCCTTTCATCCAAAAGTAATGCTTTATTCATATGCAGATTTAGATCAAGTAAAACTAAATAAATGGTTGCTTAATTCTGCACATGAATAAAGCTATATTTTTTTATTGTGAGGGCGGGGAAACATATGCTCTTTGTTTTTCTTTATCAGAGGCTGAATCCCTAATTAATATTCAGTGGAGATTCGGAAAATATGGGAGCATCCAGAGAATACTAGAAAATATTCAACACCATAATTTGCAGGCGCAAAAATGGGAATTTTGGGGAGCAATTTTCTTGCCCTGCTGTGCACCTGACTTACATGCGTTTCTGGGAATAAGCCCTTAGCTTTGTCTAACTGTCCGTTCACGCTCAGGGTCTTATTAGTTTGACGAACCCTAGACGTGGCTGTTTTCCAGTATGAAGAAATCACTGAAACGCTTCCCCCTTTGCAAGCACCGCTGAAATGAATGGCAGGTATTCAAGGGCTGGAAATATGCATGTGACATCACCATTGGCAGCTTGCGCCCATCTGACACTTAGGCAAAGTGTTGCAATGAGAAAACCATCGGTCTTGGCTTACGGCTCCTCACTGCAGCTACAAAATTCACATATATAGTTTTAAACTGAATCAATCAGCTCCGTCATTTTGATGGGGGTGGCCAGGGAGAAGGAATGAGAAGGCTAATGTTTGGGTTAAGCACAAACCGTGGTCAAAATAAGACAGTATTGACATGAATCAAAGAAAGTTACAATTGCAAAGTGAAGTATGCATTATACATGGCCAGGCCACCATTGTGGGTTCACGCAAGAAGGTCCTTTCCTACTGCAACCTAGGACCCTCTATTTCGGAGAGATTGATCCTGGGAGATTGAACCTGTGGTTCCTCCCCAAAGTCTGAACAGCAGTTCTGATTCTTAAGTACAATGCACCACCTTCTTGGTGGGCCTGGAATGCAAAGGAATGTAAGGATGAAGCCCATACTGGAAACCCAGCACGCAACTTTCAGGCATTGCAAAATTGGCTTCCAGTTAAGTGTCTACAAAAACAGGAACTGACTGCCCTGGGTCTATCAACCAGGCCAGATTCTTGCTTCTCAAATGTGCAGCTACTCGGCATTTTGACAATGCGAGGCCAGCTCAGAATTGTGCCTAGTTCTGCACCGTGGGATCAAATAGGTTTGGGTTTTATGACCAAGAGCAATCTGGACTGCTCGACAGCAACTATTACCTTACAGCAAGAGGCCTGTGTGGAAAGACCGGGCAATTGTTTCATCAAAAAATAAATATTTTGCTTAAAAAACATTCACATTTCTTTTAAAAAAAAGGTTTCCCAGTTTATGCTACAAGGACTGGAGAATACTGCTCTTGAAAGGAGTAACCTGTCATTTTCATTAAAAACGAAACAAAACGAAACAAAAAAAGGAGAGAAAAATTGGCACTGTCCTATGACTTGTTCAATACTCCCTGAAAGAAACAGGAATGGTTGACTCCAGGCACCTTTCAAAATCCAGCTTTGGAAACAAAAAAAAGGAAACCAAAAGGAAACCATATCCCCAATTGAATGGGTTGCCAGTCTTAAATCTGAGCAATATGAAATACTCAGCAAAAGCCCTTTGTTACCCCCTACCCCTCTTCAAACTGCTTGATGCTCTTGAGTCGCAACGTTGGCAACACCCAGTCAAATTCCGCCATTTTGCTGAGATAACAACCAATCACCTCATGAACCACTGCCCATGAGGACTCCGACTCCTCTGTCCATCTTCAAGTTATCAATGGAGCAATTGTTATTGTAGCATTCCATGCAAATCCCATTTTAAGGTTGGGTTTTGAGTCCCCGCAGCCTTTCCCCAGTTTGTTCGTTTGGCGAGACACACCAACTCCCTCAGACCCAGGTTCTCAGGCTTCGCAATGTTCCAGCTGCATTCGCAACACGCCACTTTTGTGGAGAAACCACAGCTGTAGGAATTCCTCCGGCATAGCGTGAAACCACGAATCCGGCAAGATGTTGTCGTAGTAGTGGTGACTGATAAACTTCCCATGCAGGTCCATCGAAAAGGGCCAGAACCCATAAATCGTTACTTCTTCACACAAACCCAGGGCTGCACTGACCAGGAAGAGGCCCGTCGACAGCCGCTTTCCATGGATTCCTTTGTTCTTCCAGAACTTTCCGATGTTGCGCAAGAAGTTTGGGTTGGCGAAAATCACCTTTTGCCTGGCGCCAACATCTGCTAGGGTGTAGTAGACCCTGAGAGAGGGCTCTGTCCCCGCTTTCATGGAGAAGGCCGGCATATAGATGTAGCTCTGGTTGTAGACTTTAACACTGTCCACAAAGGCTTTTCGGGACCAAAGAAGGTTCTGGAACCTGTTCAAAAACAGCAAGGGCAGGGATGGGGGGGGGGAGATGAATAACAAGTCAATGCCTTAAAATCAATTCAAAACAGTTTGAAAAGGCCTTGAAGTACTGATGGAGAAGGCTTTTTGAGACCAAAGAAGATTTTGGGGGGGGAAATATAACACTTCCAATAAAGCAAATGGTTTACACCCTAGATTCAAATGCTGATTTGGAAAGAAATTGTACCTACTGATAGCTATGATTGAAATGTTTCTGCTCTATCAATCAGGTTGGTGTTTCTGCTTCCTTTTTTTAAAAAAAAATATTTTATTTTCAAATTTTATAATCACAGTATTTTATAAATTCAAAAAATAGAATGTAGACCTCCCCCCTCCCCTCCCCTGGTGTTTCTGTTTTCCCATTTCATCATGTTTACTAGGGCTGGGCGAGATGTATCAATATTTCATCTAAAACCAGATTGAAATCCATATTGTGATATCAGTTTCATAATTCTTGAGCTGGCAATATATCGTAAATAATTTTTTGTACGTGTGTGTGTGTGTGCGCGCGCGCGCACGTGCGTGTGTGTGCGAGCTATGCAAAAATCACAATGTGGGTAAAACCATGAAGCCAGCTAATGCCTATACAGTGGTACCTCGGGTTACATATGCTTCAGGTTACAGACTCCGCTAACCCAGAAATAGTACCTTGGGTTAAGAACTTTGCTTCAGGATGAGAACAGAAATCGTGCTCCAGCGGCGCAGCTGCAGCGGGAGGCCCCATTAGCTAAAGCGGTGCTTCAGGTTAATAACAGTTTCAGGTTAAGAACGGACCTCTGGAACAAATTAAGTTCTTAACCCAAAGTACCACTGTACATAGCTCCATTCTGATATATCAGTACACAGTGGTACCTTTGGTTACAGACGCTTCAGGTTACAGACTCCGCTAACCCAGAAATAGTACCTCGGGTTAAGAACTTTACCTCAGGATGAGAACAGAAATTGCGCGGCAGCAGGCCCCATTAGCTAAAGTGGTACTTCAGGTTAAGAACAGTTTCAGATTAAGAACGGACCTCCAGAACAAATTAAGTTCTTAACCTGAGGTACCACTGTATTGCAATGTTTAGCCAGTGATATATGACGATGTTGAAAAGCAGACATTGCCCCATCCTAATGTTTACCCTTTGCAGAAATGGAGAATGTGAGCACACAAACAGAGCCCTGCTGGTTCAGGCCAGCAGCCCAACAGGTCCAGCATCCCAGTCTCACAGCGGCCAACCAGATCCCTGTGGGATGTCTGCAAAGAGCGCTTTTGCCTCTCCTCCAGTTTCCAGTACCTGATATTCAGACACATGCTGCTTCCAACAGTGAAGGCAGAACATCACTACTGTGGCCAGGAGCCACTGATAACGTAAGCCCCATGCATGCCTCTAATCTTCTTCTAAAGCCATCCAAGTAGGTGGCCATCACTGGCTCCCGATGGAGCAAATTCTATAAGTTAACACAGGAAGCTGATCCTTTTGTTCTGTTTCTTCCCCTGGCATTGGGCTTTGCGTACTGACTTTCGGTGTGACGGGCTTTGGCATGAGCTGAATGCCCAGCGGATTACCGTGGATTCTTGTCCTCGTCTCTTCACATCATTTGCCATCCTGGCAGAGGAATTGCAGCAGATGCAACCAAGAGCAAAGCAATTGGAAGTGCCAGCAGGTCAGCAAGGCCACACAGAAGGGGTGTTTGCAATTATCTTAGACAACAACGCAGGGAGCCAACTTTTCAACAGGCACAGGGCCCAGTTCGGCAGATGGGAAGAAATACAGGCAGCCAAGAGACCCCAGGGCTATGGGCCATCAGAAACTAAAAAGCCATGCAGTCTGTTCTGTCCAAACAAGAGAATATTAGCAGTCACTCAGTATTCTCATTTTGTATTTTTCTGTTGTGAACCGCCCTGGGAACTTTGAATGAAGGGTATTATACTACTACTACTAATAATAATAGGCCTTTCCACTTCATCCCTCTGATATAAAAAAATCATGGCGTTAAATATGATAAAGAGCTACTTAGTAATGCCGCAGGTATGGCAACAGTAGAGCATGCACGGCCATGGAATTCCTCAAAGAGTTCCTTAAGTCAGTATCAGTTCCTGTAGTTCCCCACCCCTGGATCAAGGAAACTTCATAAAACATGAGGATGTTGTTGTTTTTACAACACCTTACTAGGGAGAGACGCTTGAGAGTCCCATGGACTGCAAGAAGATCAAACCTATCCATTCTTAAGGAAATCAACCCTGAGTGCTCACTGGAAGGACAGATCCTGAAGCTGAGGCTCCAGTACTTTGGCCACCTCATGAGAAGAGAAGACTCCTGGAAAAGACCCTGATGTTGGGAAAGATGGAGGGCACAAGGAGAAGGGGACGACAGAGGACGAGATGGTTGCACAGTGTTCTCGAAGCTACCAACTTCGAATTTGACCAAACTGCGGGAGGCAGTGGAAGACAGGAGTGCCTGGCGTGCTCTGGTCCATGGGGTCACGAAGAGTCGGACACGACTAAACGACTAAACAACAACAATAACTAGGGAGGGAGGAGGAGGAGGAGACACAGTTTGACTTCTGCTCTTGCTGATAGCCCTGTCTTTCCAGTTTTGCTCCACGTTGTTACACGTAGACCAATGGTTGTCTCCACGATTCACCCAGTAGAATATTTAAATCCAAATAGAGAGGAAGATGGCAGTTGGGTTGGCAGTTTCGTCACAAAGTAATGTGGGACAGCTCAATACAGTGGTACCTCTGGTTCCGAACTTAATTCGTTCTGGAGGTCTGTTCTTAACCTGAAACCGTTCTTAACCTGAGGTACTGGCGAGCAATTTCTGTTCTCATCCTGAGGTAAAGTTCTTAACTCGAGGTGCTACTTCTGGATTTAGCGGAGTCTGTAACCCGACGTGTTTGTAACCCAAGGTGTTTGTAACCTGAGGTACCACTGTACAGGCTTTGCAAGAGATAATAACTGGCAGCAAATCTATGGACCTGACATCTCCTCTGTGCAAGCTAGTGGTAGCCAATGTGGCAGCTTCCAGATACTGAACACCTACTTCCATCAGCTGCAGACAGCATGGTCAATAGGGAGGATGGAAGTTGTAGTCTATTAACATCTGGAGGGCATCCCGCCGGCTATCCCTGCTATAAGCAATAGAAAGTTGGGCGCTTTCCAAATATTCATTTAGGTTTCAACAAAACCAGCTGTGGCTTGCTTTGAGGCTGCTCATAGCTACCCTTTCCCTCCTACATCAACTCATCCTGTAATTAACTATATGAAATGCTGAAATAGCGACTTTGCGGGTCATGTGCGCCATCAGAGTCTTGAGGAGGCATCATAAGCCCTGACATAAACATTATGCGAGGAAGATAAAAGAGAAGCTGAGCTTAATAAGAAAACATTGCTACTATTATAAAAAAAAAAAGCGAACCAGAATTAGAAACACATCTGGCTCGGGAAGGTGCATTTTTTGCTTCTATTTAAATGCAAATGTCATATTCTCGGAATAGCTGGGTTTAACACATATGAAGTGGGATTGGACTAATGGTAAATCCTTTTTTTTGCCAATTAATTTTTATTCATTTTTTCAAATTTATAACACGACAACTCCAATTAAAACTAATTTAATACACACCCAAAAAAATAAACCTGGCTTCCCACTCTCTCAGGTATTTCCATTTCTTCCCATTTTACATGCTGCTTATATTACAGATTTATCTCTAATTAGCATTTTTTTTGGGGGGGAGGACTAATGGTAAATCCAATCTAGTGTAGTATCTGGCTAGATACCCGTGGGTTCACAAATCAAACCTGATAGAGATTGGCACCCTCAATGAACACCTTCTGGATTGTGGAGGCTGTGCTAAGTTGCCATGGCTAATAGCCACTGGTGGACCCTTCACCAAACCCAGTTTCTGGCACGCTCCAGTAGGTATCCAATCTTTTGGATCCCACACAAGCAAGTACAGTGGTACCTCGGGTTACATACGCTTCAGGTTACATACACTTCAGGTTACAGACTCCGCTAACCCAGAAATAGTACCTCGGGTTAAGAACTTTGCTTCAGGATGCAAACAGAAATCGTGCTCCGGCGGCGCGGCAGCAGCGGGGGGCTCCATTAGCTAAAATGGTGCTTCAGGTTAAGAACAGTTTCAGGTTAAGAACGGACCTCCGGAACGAATTAAGTACTTAACCCGAGGTACCACTGTAATGTGTGCGTATGCCTTATTTCTCCCCTTCCATGGGTTTAATTGCCATGCCTACAGCTTTCAAAATCAAGAAGTGGTATCTGCGATGGGCACATGGGTCGTTCAGTTGGGGATGTGAGATTGGGCCAATATCAACAGGCATTTCGTATCTCACCTCAAATGCAACACATTTCAGGGAAGTCTGTTTATTTAGTTCTCCTGACTTCCAGTGCTATATACGCATGTGAGGCTGAGGTTGTTGTAATACTCAGGGTATAGACCAGAGCCAGCCAATGGGGCGCCCTCCAGATCTCTTGGACTGGTTCCCCACATTTCTTCACTGCAACTTCAATTCATTGGTTGCTGCTTTTCTTATTAAATGGGTGGAAAGGAAGGTGGAACACCATTATATCGTATCACATGTCTCCTTTACCAGGCATCCACTGGAGGAGACTCAGGTTGCTCTTGACGGTACATTCACAGAAGCAACCCATTTGGGCCTCCTCCGTAGGCTGTGTTCAGACACCACACTAAACCATAGTTTAGCATGATGACGATGAGCCACAGGAAACCACTGGCCCTTGCCCTCCTCTTTTGCAGCCGCCAAGATTGAAAACACCTGCTTCTGAGTAACCACAGTTTAGCATGCTGTCATCTCCAAATTCTAAACTGTGGTTAGTATTAACTACGTTTTCCTTAAACAAGGCAGGCTAATAGGCCAAGGTTTGAATTTAAATTTCCAAATAAGCTCCATAATTAACATTAGCCAGTTAGCTGCGTTTGGATGACACGACCGGCTACAGTTAATCTAAACTGGAAATAAATGATGCCATACTCCTCCCTGAAGCTGCGCTGGAGGAAGATGGAGGGTGTGTGAGCCCAAGGCTCATGGTGGGCTGTTCAGGTCATGCTAAACAATGGTTGACCATGGTGTTCAAACCAGGCCATCAAATATAGACCTTGCAGGCTGAGTGTGACCCTTGGCATCTATAAGAAAGAAAGATACCAGTCAGCAAGGTTGGCACAGAAACCTAGGATGCTGCCTTACTCTGAGGCAGACTGTTGGACCATATACCTCACTACCTGACACTAGCTGGCAGCAGCTTGCCAGACTTTGCACAGAGTTCCCTGACAGCCGCCCTACCTGGAGATGCTGGGGATGGAACCTGGTACCTTCTGCATGCAAAGCAGATGCTCTACCCCTGAGCTACAGGGCTTTCCTCATCAAATCCGCAATGGCCTCTGCTTGACAGCCACCAACTGTGCTGGCCTAGGTGGGCCAATGGTCTAATGCAGTATAAGGCAACCTCTTTCCTTGGAAAACATTTACGGTGCATTCAGTCTTCCCCACGCAGTTCATCATTACAATCCTCTCTCTTTTTCCTCACTGTAAACTAATTTAGCCAAGTAAGCACAAACAGTAGTTTATCCGTTTATCCACCCACATCTAGGCTCCTGCCTCTCCCAGTTGCTCTGTCTCAGGCTATTAGCCCAGAACACTTATTTACTACAAAAAACGGATAACGCTGCGGTTACGTGGGTTCAGTTTCTACTTGTTTTGTCTGAGAGGAGGAACTCTTCCACCAGAACCACCTCCTCACTGTTCTAGCCTGCCTCTGTTCCTTTGGGCATCGTTAAGCACAGCAAAAAACACATTTTCTAAAGTTCTTTGCGAGTGGTTTCTGCTTCAATGAAAAATGAAAGCAGCTCTCTGGTGGGCTTCAAGGCTTCTTTGCTTCCCCTCCCTCCCTACAGAAGGCCTGGGGAAGCTGTGACCCTTCAGATGTTGTTGAACTCCAACTCCCAACAGCCACGGCCAACATGGCCAATGCAACAACATCTGGAGGGCCACAGGTTCACCATCCCCTGCTATAAATCAGGGATGTCCAACAGCTCGATCGCGACTGGTAGATCCCTGGGAGGTTTTGGTAGATCGCGGTTGATTGCTGGGTCCCTTTCCTTAGCGTTGGTAAAATATCATCCGGCCCCGGCCCCTCACCCTGCCCTCCAGAACGGAAGATGGGGTTTACCTCAACAACTTTGCCCTGAACTCCTGAACTCCAAAAAAGGGGGTGGATCACTGCCAGTTTTTAATTCTGCAGCAGTAGGAGAACAATATGGGCATGTCTTTAAGTTAACATCTTACATTAAAAACCTGACAGTACCGAATTATCGAAGGCTTTTCACCAAAGCCAGACTAAACGCCTTTCCTTCTGCAGTGTTGGATGGCAGGTTGAGAGGAGTTCCCTACCAGGACACACTTTGCTCGTGTGCTCAAGACATCGATTCTGTAAAACATATTTTGCTGCACTGTGCAAAATATGAGCAAGCCTGGGCTGAACTGATTTGCCCTTGCTGGTACCTTTCCCAGGAAAATCAGAGGCTCACTATATCAGGTTCCTATTGGAAGACCGGACAAACGCTAGAACATTAGCAGTGGCAAAGTTTTTATCAGTGGTTGCAAGAACCAATGATCCCTGTCTTTTGAACAAAATGCTGGTTAAACCTGGAGGTAGGCTGTATGAATTGTGCATTGCTTTGTAACGACTTGTTGGGTCTCTGGACCATAATAAAGATTGATTGATTAATTCTGTGAGTAGATCGCAGTCTCTTGGGAGTTGGCCACCCCTGCTATAAATGAACATGCTAAACAAAACATGGAATGCCCCACTGACGTGGGAATTGGATGGATTCCTCTCAATTCCAGCTTTTGTTTCTCTTTCAGTCTAGGGACCAGCGACACTCAGATATTTTAGGAATTTCCTGCCAAAAGGTCCTAACTCTATTTCCCGGCTGCTGTTTGATTTCCTCCCTAAATCGTTATTCTTTGGCCTTACCTCTTTTGCTCATATGTTTATAAGATCCATTGTTATCTTGGACAATTGCTGATAGCTACTTCCTCTTGTTCATCACTCACTTGACAGCTCTGTCTTCCGTTTTTCCATCTGGGATGCTGCTACTCTCAACAACATTGCTTCCTTCCCCTTCTCACTTTTTTAATGGTCCCTTTTTATTTTATTAGAATAATAACGACAATGAATAATAAATAATGCATGGAGTAAAGAAATGTGTGTGTAGATATATAGCATAATCAAACTACTATTACAATAAATTATATTGATATATATTGTCCTGCACATTATTCATTCCAAAATGTAATAATAATAAAAATTCCATGGGAATTGCTAGGGAAACTGATTAAAAACGAGAAAAAACTTGTCAAAAACCCTGGGAAGGAATCAATAAAGTATAATATTAAACTGATTCAAACCCAACTTTCGATGATAATGAATCAAGAAATAGATTGGAAGATTAAAACAAATTCAAGACCATTTTTTTATTTTTAGTTTGCTAATAAACCTGGAAGATTGTTGGCATGGCAGTTAAAGAAGAAGCAAGAAGAGAGTAGCATAAATAAATTAAACACTAATGGTAAAATTATAGATAATCCAAAAGAGATAAGAAACCAATTTGTAAGCTATTATACAGAGCTATATCGAGGAAAGCAATGTGATGTTACAATGATGGAAGAATATTTAAAGGACAGCAAGTTACCTAAAATATCTGCCAGATCCTTTGAAATTGATTTAAAATTGATGGTACTGTATTGAGTTTTTCTACAATGCTTTAGCAATTATTATTGTTGTTGCTGTCAGTAAATTTTAAACCACTTCCAAACCTAGCTCTGGAACTATTCGTTGGAAACAATTCAGTGATAATATAATTGTATCATTTGGCAACAGATATCCCATCATTTCCAAAACAAAATTTTGAACAGCAGACCAGTGCATTTGCACCAGCAAACAGCTCCAAAATACATGCAGGCAACTTGACTATTGCATCATCAACATTAACCCCTTTCCCCTTTAAATACCCCCTGAGAAATGCTGCGTCCACAATAAGGGCAAAACGACTTCTGACATGATCCACATCTTTAGCCTTGCCTTTAAAAACATCAACAAGCAGAGGGGGCACAGAGGGTGCCTGGATCCGTACCATGCCAATGGAGGAGGAAGGTTTTGATGCCACAGCAATCTCTGTTGGTTTCATGGGACTGGCTGCACGCACAGGAATGGTGCGTTCCTATCTAGGGAACCCCCAAGGGGGAAAGGCTCATAGCTCGGGGAGAGGTGGTGGGATGACAATGGATGGTCAGAGGGAGAAGACTGGCAGGGAGGGGAGCTTGTTGCAGCAGGAGGGGGAGACCCCCTGGCTTCTTCATCATCGCTGCCTCTTGTCCCCCTCCTCTCCTGCTTCCGCTTCTGATTGGTGGTTATGTTTAATAAGTGCTTAAAGTAATGCAGGTTAATAAAATGTTGATTAATGTATCATTATCTATTTTATAATTGTAATACAGTGGTACCTCGGGTTACACATGCTTCAGGTTACATACGCTTCAAGTTACACACTCTGCTAACCCAGAAATAGTGCTTCAGGTTAAGAATTTTGCTTCAGGATAAGAACAGAAATCGTGCTCCAGCGGCGCGGCGGCAGCAGGAGGCCCCATTAGCTAAAGTGGCGCTTCAGGTTAAGAACAGTTTCAGGTTAAGTACAGACCTCCGGAACGAATTAAGTACTTAACCTTATCATTATTTAATGATACCACTGTATCATTAAATAATTTAGTTTAAAAAAAATAAGAAATCATGTTGTTGTTGATCACTTCCAAGTTACAATAACTCACTTTTCCTTTTTAATGCAAGATTGTGTATATTTGTTTTGTTTGCTATTGTCATTATTACTTTCGTTCTGTTTTTAAATGAAAGCATTCCGAATATTGTTCTAATGCGCTGACATCATCTAGACCTTGTCCTAGTCTTCTCCTTCTGACCACTCATCATTGTCCCACCACCACTCCCTGGGCTCTGAGCCTTCGTCCCATGGGGGTTCCTCAGTTGGTGCCTCTCACTACTCCTCTAGAATTCTACGACCCTATATAAATTTAGTAAATAAGTAATAAAATAGGGGGGGGGAAGGCTGTTGCCAACAACCTGCTTGCAATATCAACAACACATTTGCAGGGGGGAAAGGCTCCCCGGGGAAGAGGTAAACATTCCTGTTTGCAGATATTCCCCCTGTCTGTTTCAATGCCACGGTGCAACGCCTAGGATCCTGCGTGGTATTCAATACCTCTAAAGTCTCCCCTTTTGCTCTTAGAAAAAACAAAATTCCTGGAAATCCTTCCTTTTGAATGGAAACCCTGCTATGACTCCGTCGTTAATCATTTGGATCAGTTTGCTGGTGATAGGAGTCATTACAGAAACTCTGCATCTCCTGTGAGCAATGGCGGAATTTGTCTTGATGAGCTAAGCTGTGTTTGATTACTGTTATTATGTGGAAGAAGAGAGGAGGAGAGAGCAGCTCCAGGAAGCTTATAATAAGCATTGCATCAGCCGGCTCTTTACCTCTCTCTGAATTTCAGAACCCAAGAGGGTCAACTCAGGGACAGGTTTAAAGCCACACAAGCTTTGTGGCTCAGTGCTAGGGCACCTGCCTTGCCTGGGGAAGGTCCCCGGTTTGATCCCTGGCATCCCTAAGTAGGGATAGGAGAGACCTCTGCCTGACATTCTGGAGGGCCACTGCCAGTAGGCAGTACTGAGCTAGGTGGATCAATGATCTGAATCAATATAAGGCAGCTGTCATGGACTGGTTGGAAGCAGGGGAATGGTGGGAGGAATCAGCTGGGGAAACTCCAAGGGAAGAGGTCTCAGAGCCAGGGGATTGGTGGTGGGATGACAAAGCGTGTTCTCCTTCATGGAGAGCACGTGTTGCGGTGGGGGCCGCCAGGACACTCCAAAATTGGGGGAGGGCTAATTGATCGTTGGCCACTGATGCGATTGGGCTTCCCTTGTTGTTGGGAAGAAGTTAATGTTGCCATTTGTTGATTGACAGCCAGAAATGCTAAAACTCCTTGCACAAGGCTAGGGCTTCCTCTTTTCGCCCGTGCATCGGATTGCCCGTCCCCCCCCTCCCTAGAATTAGGGTTGTTCGCTTTGACCTTGCTATGCCTGTCATGGGGTCCTCTGCTCTTGGGGCAGGGGCCCGGTAGGAATTTTGTCCATCTGGCTGACTGGCTGGAGTCATTTGGTTTTTGCCTACTGCGTAGCAAATCATCACAACTTGTAAGGTTGCGGTTAGGCATTGGTTTATGGTTTGGTTGGTTGAGGGGCATGGATTGGCTGTGCCTGCCCCTCTAATGCTGCTGCTGCAAGGGATTCCATTAAAGGAATTGGGGGCTAACTATTGCTTGTCCACTCTGTCAAGGGGACTCAGGCCATAGCAATGAGCTCCTGGTTGCATTTGGGGTGAGGGCAGGTTCCCTGATCCGTCGCTACCCCCAAGTGTATTCCCCTATTCTGACTTTCGCATCGTGCGGAATGTCAGTCTGTCCCCCATGGTGGGGGCAGATAGTCGCAACCAATGCCTAAGCAACCACTCACAAATTTGTATTTTAATAAAGTTGTGGCCAAATTATGCCAAAAATCTTAAACAAAAAATTCTGTGTGATGTGTGAGTTATTGGGGTGGCCCTGGGGACCTTGACACGCAAACAGTGGGCAGAGGGAGAAGAGGGAGAGGACGGGGAAGAGGAGGTGTCAGAAGCTGAAGAGGTAGCAAAACATAGTGAGCTACAAGAGTCTGTGGCAGAGAGAAATCCAGAATCAGAGGCAGAAGCTGAAGCAGGAGAGTGGGATGTGGGATGTGGGAGCCCAAGAGGAAGAGATGAGACAGGCAGATGAAGAGTCACAGGTGTTGCCCCCTCCTGCTGCAACAAGCTCCCCTCCCTGCTCCCAGAACAAGAAGAGGCATGAAAGGGACAGAGGAGAGGTTGGCTGCACACAGGCACAGTCTCTGATTGCTTGGGGAAAGCCCTGGTGGGGAGGCTGGGAGTTTCAGCCCCAACAACTGGTTTTCATGGAGGAAGACCGCCAGGAATGAGTTGCCCTGGACCTGACACTCAACCAATTCTGTAGAGCTCATGTTTTTGCTAATAAAGAGTTAACTCCATCTTTGAGCTGTGTGATTACTGACTGAAGTCAGCTTTGTTTCTACGTGGTAATTTCACTTGAACAAACCTTGGGTTACCTCAGCACAATTCATGCCTACAAGTTAAGCCATGAGTAGTGAAGATGGGGGAAGAAATCTATTTTGGGTCGCAGCTTAATGCAAACCTTCCTAATTTCTGCTTCCAAAAACAAGACGTGAGCTGAAATTCCGCTGCCCTTCAAAAATTTGCACTTCTCAGAATTTTGTGATGCAGCTCCCAAACCAAAACATGCGTCTGGGGGATGGCTGGCATGGTTAGCGCATCGGACTAGGACCTGGGAGACCAGGGTTCAAGTCTTCCACTCGGCCATGAAGCTCACAAGGATGACCTTCAGTCAGTCACTGCCTCTCAGCCTAGCCTACATCACAGGGTTGTTGTGAGGATAAAATGGGGTGCAAGAGAACTATGTACGTCACCTTGAGCTCCTTCGAGAAAATGTGGGATGTAACTGCAATCGATAAATAAATATGAACAATGTGAAAGCAGGGCCCCATGACGCAAATTTCAGCGTCCCTTTCTTAAGCATTCTCTCCCATTCAGTGCAGTTCAGAGGTGGATGCTGGTGGTCTGTTGCCTAATCCATTTAGGCACGAGAGCCAGTGTGGCGTAGTGGTTAAGAGCGGTAGACTCGTAATCTGGGGAACCAGGTTCGCGTCCCCGCTCCTCCACATGCAGCTGCTGGGTGACCTTGGGCCAGTCACACTTCTCTGAAGTCTCTCAGCCCCACTCACCTCACAGAGTGTTTGTTGTGGGGGAGGAAGGGAAAGGAGAATGTTAGCCACTTTGAGACTCCTTAGGGTAGTGATAAAGCGGTATATCAAATCCAAACTCTTCTTCTTCTTCCACTTCTGGGCAACAAAGGTCAAAATCAGCCTTCCTAAACTCACTGGCGGAGGAAGGCAGGTGCGGTGCGCGCCGGGTGTCAACCGTGAGGGCAGGTGACATGCCTGTGCCCCCCCCACCCCCACTTGCTGCGCAGGCAGCACCCCCGGACGCTCACCGCGCAGGTGGCAGGCGGCTAGGGACAATGCTGCGGCAGGTGGATAGTGGCGCCCCCCAGCACTCGTCTCATGGGCAGCTAGCAGCGCCCTTCCTGACGCTCTGCGGGCAGACGGCAGGCAGCTAGGGACACTCACCGTGCGGGCAGCTAATGGCGCCCCCCCACGCTCGCTGTGTGGGCGGCTAGCCCCACCCCCACGCCGCCACGGGTGCTGGGGCAGGTAGCTCTGCCCTGCCTAAACTCTCCTATTTCTGCTTCCATGAAACCTGCCAAGCAGCAGAATCCAATGAAAGGATAGCTCAGTTGATAAGCATGAGATTCCTAATCCCTGGAGGGCCTTGGATTGCCCTCCGTAGATCTCAAGAATCAGCCCCTTCTCTCACAAGGAGTCATGGTCTCAGTAAGGGCCTTTCCTGCAAGATGTGGACAAAAAGGTTTATTCATCAACAGCCCTGCGCTGCCCTTTCGAAAAACCCACCCATGTATCCAGCAGATTACAAAGCGCTCAATTTATGCAGGTGGGCTGGCATGTTTTCAGGTGGAACAAACTGTACGTGTTTCATCACTGCTATTGATTTGAAATGCAGCTCCTGCTGAGATGCATAATTTTATTCATAGGGAAGGCTTGTCAGCACCAGTGGAAATAGTAATTATCGTGCACGCAAAATAACAATCTATCGCAGCGCTGCAGTGGAGGCGCCGAATCGGAAATTCCGAAATGAACACATTTCCCTGAAAAATTTTAAAGAAAGAGGAGCTATTAGAAATTGGGCGGTGTGGGTGGTGGATAGACCAAGTGGCAGAATGCTAACCCTTTTGCTTGCACCAAGTCTCTGGTCTTTGGTCCCCTGCATCTACAGTTGGAACAAAAATCTTAGGGGGGGAGTGGCCTCTTTCATGAGTTCCAGGCAGTGGCAAACCACAGTGGACAATACTGGGCTAGATGGATGGACCAATGGTTTGATTCAATATAAGGCATGGGTTGAAATGCTATGATCTTCCTTGCACACAAAAAACTGGGAACAGGGGTCATAGCTTAGTGGTAATGCACTTGCATTTGTACATATAAAGTCCCAATCTTAAGGTTCTCCTAAAAGGGCTGGGGAAGGTGGTTATCTGAAACAGTAGCTGTGCCTCTTGAAATTCTCCAGCTTGTATAATAATAATAATAATAATAATAATAGTACCCTGCCCATCTGACTGGGTTGCCCCAGCCACTCTGGGCAGCTTCCAACAGATATAAAAACAAGGGCTGCCTTCAGATGTCTTCTAGAGGTCAGGCAAGTGTTTATTTCCTTGATATCTGATGGGACGGCATTCCACAAGGCGGGCGCCACTACTGAGAAGACCGTCTGCCCGGTTCCCTGTAACTTCACTTCTCACAGTGAGGGAACCACCAGAAAGCCCTCGGAGCTGGATCTCAGTGTCTGGGCTGAACAATGCGGGTGGAGACGCTCCTTCAGATATGCTGGACAAAGGCTGTTTAGGGCTTTAGGTCAGCACCAATACTTTGAATTGTGCTTGGAAACGCACTCAGTTTGTGGACGTAGAACTTGGAGGAACCCATCCGCTGGATTCCACCAGTGACATTTTCTCAAGAGGGGGAAAAAACAACCTCCATTGTTCTGCCCGGACACTGAGGTCCAGCGCCGAGGGCCTTCTGGCGGTTCCCTCGCTGCGAGAAGCCAAGTTACAGGGAACCAGGCAGAGGGCCTTCTCAGTAGTGGCACCCACCCTGTGGAACGCTCTCCCACCAGATGTCAAAGAGCAAAATAACTACCAAACTTTTAGAAGACATCTGAAGGCAGCCCTGTTTAGGGAAGCTTTTAATGTTTAATAGGTTATTGTATTTTAGTGTTCTGTTGGAAGCCGCCCAGAGTGGCTGGGGAAACCCAGCCAGATGGGTGGGGTATAAATAAATAAATAAATAAATAAATAAATAAAATTATTATTATTATTATTATTATTATTATTATTACCTACGAAATAATTTTGACTCAGCTCTTTTTGGAGCCACTTCCAGTCAGAATAGTAGACAACACTGGCCATGGTTTAGTGGTCTGGCTTAGTATAAGGCATGTTCACATGTATGAAGCGCATATATCCCAGAGTCCACACTACACGTTTCCTTCTCAGGGATGTTAGGCATGTTTGCATCTGCTCCAAGGCCTCCAGAGCTATCAAGGAACCCACGTGTCACTATAACAGAGTCTCTAAGTATATGTAGCAAGGCCTAGAGAAGTCCCCACACTATAATCAGCCTTGACTTCTGTGCTATTTTCAGAGCAGATAGGAACCTGCCAGACTGCAGTGGGTCAGCCTAGGCTTGGTTTAGAATCATTCCAACCCATTTGTTTCCAGACCAAATCCCAGCCATGGCAGATTTCCATACTTCTTCCTAGACAGGGACCTAACTCAAAGCTTCCAGGCATGCACAGAAACATACAGAAGGACCAAGCTTCAATCTCAGACCTCGCCAGTGAAAACAATCTCTGACCAATGCTTGCTCCAACACCCTCAACACCACCGTTATCTTGATTCAGGCCTAAACCAACGTAATATAATTTCTTGATCAGTTCTAATTCAGCCATTTTGCACTAAAGCTATCTTGTCCCATCTAGCTCAGTATTATTATTATCTTTTAATATTATTTTTATTAAAGATTTTTCTTAGTTTACAAAAGTACGTGCATTGTTTGTTTTTCAGGTTATAGAGTTTTTTTTCTATGGATCAGTTACATTTGATGTGAAAGAGTGCCGTTTGCATGTTCAGACCTTTAAACCTCCCCCTTAAATACAGACAAGACTCAAATTTTGGTTTGGTTTTTGGCAGAATTTAGGCCACAACTTTATTGATTACAGCAAGTGAGTGGTTGCATAGGCTCTGGTTCGACTAGCTCCCTGCACCCTTGCAGGTAGCGCTGGCCCAGGGCACCAGCATAGGTCAGCCTAGGGTGAACACCCGGATAGGCGGAAAGCCGGGAACCGGCTAACTCCACCACCAAAATGTCCCCCTGGACTCAGGCATGGGCACAACCCCCTCACAGGGCTGACCAAACCATTGAGTCCCTGGATTCCTTTAACGGAATACCCTTCACATAGGGATGACGACAGCGTTCTCCCATCCCTATCACCTGAACCAGAGCCTATCCTCAACCTTACAAGTTGTGACGGTTTGCTACGCGGCAGGCGAAACCCAAATGGCACCAGCCAATCAGCCGAGTGGGGAAAATTCTTGCCGTGCCCCTGTCCCAATGACAGATGACACATGACGGCAAAGCAAGGTCAAGCGCACAAGCCCTAAAAATAGGGAGAGGTGGGCGGGTGTTCCGATGCACACACTGAAAGAGGAAGGTCTGGGTCATGTGTATAGGTATATATAGGTCCCTTGATCTGTTTAGCCTGTGTCCCATTGACCTGACTGAACCCTGCATCAAGGGACCTACCAATCGGGTGTTGTGGCTATCCAATCAAACCCACCCACAACACAGGGTTTGGTTGCCAGGTCTCACCGCAAAACGTGCCCTCTTTAAGGGAGGACCCGATATACAAAATAAAACTGGGGAAGAAGAAAAAGGGGAGATGAGTGGTAAAACTTATAGTCTTTTACTTAGTGTATATGTGAGGTCCATTTTGCTCAGTATTGGCTGGCAGGAGCTATCCAAGGTCCTTCCACCCCACCTACTACCTGACTCCTCTTTGAACTGGCGATGCAAACTGACCTTCTCCTTGTAAACCACATGTTCCATATCTGACCTATGAAGCTGTTGTGTTCTTTCTTGGACCTGGCAATGTGTCAACCGGCCCATTGATTCCCCAAGGATGTGAGAACCAAAATGCGCAGACTTCCCTTAATCAGCATTCTTTCCCACATTCCTTTTCATCTATGAATTGAAGGATGGATCGTGTGCTCAGCGCCCGTCATTATTCAAATGGCCTCGCAAAACAGTGCGGTTAAGCTAATTAAGGCTGATTCTTCAGAGAGAGAATATCTCACTTTGCATTTGCTAGCAAACATTGGAGATTAATTAGCAGTACATCTAAAAGGTGAAGCTTCTGGCTGGAGTTTGCGGAGGATGGGGCCTTGTGTTTTCAGAACAGGATACGACGAAGAACGCTGATCTTTATTGCAAACAAATCTCAATCCAATAAATCGCTGTGTCTCAATTAACCTTTTCAAGGTTAATAAAATAAAACAATGCTAGAATATGTTATCTCAGGGGAAAATCTGTTTCCAAAAAGCGTATATTAGCCCAAAGTTGTTTATTAAGAGAAATTCACACTAGAATGCTGGTGCATTTTCAAGAACTGCAAACTGCTGCAGAAATGCGGAAAAATGACAAACTGAGAAGACCAAAATTTACAGTTTCATCCAACTCTCTTCCAGTTGCTGGAATCTGAATTACATTGACTACTGAGGGGGCTGCCATCAACACCTCCCCACATCCCTGATTATATTGCCTTTTGGAAAACCTCCTTGAGAGCCAACCTTGGCTGAAAAACTGAACAACAGCAGCAAGTGGGACACACAACAACCATGTTGCAGTGTGATGCATTCCCTGTTCAAGATTCCAGACACGAAGGCAATTTCTCCCTTCCCTTTCTAATAGGCAAATCCATCAACTTAGCCCACTCGAAATCTGCTTGCAATCTGGCCAAAGACCGTAGTCCTCCTTTCCTATATCTCCCAAAATTACCAGAAAATCTAATCAGCCCTGAAGTGACACAAATGGTTATTGTCAAAATCAGTCCGTGTTGCTGTGTTGCTTAGTGTATTCAATTTGCTAATGTCTCTCTCTCTGTGTGTGTGTGTATTCTTACTGTGGGTGGGAGGGTAAACCTGCAACTGTTAACGTGATTTCCTAAGACTGATTCAATATTGCTTCAGCTTGGCACAAGGTGCACAAAAACCCCTCCATTTTTGTCTACGATGAATTCAGAAGAAGCAGTTCAAAAGAATGGAGACAACAAGGTATACAGGCACATCTTTGTTTGGGTTGTATGGCCATAATGCAGTTTTATTTCTGTGTTGACCAGGGGATGAGGAGTAGAAACAAACCCCTAATTTTCTGTCTACTGTTCCTAAAGATTTGTTCTCAACAGACGATAAGAATAAAGTTGAGGTTGCCCTTGGAAGTGTCTGCCTCAAAACTAATTTTTCCTACCTGTCTGCTCAATGCCTCACTCTCAAGGGGATCATTAAATGAGTCTTGTTGTTGTTGTTGTTGTTGTTGTTGTTGTTGTTGTTGTTGGTTGGTTGTTTGTTTGTTTATTATTATTATTATTATTATTATTATTATTATTATTATTATTTACACCCCGCCCATCTGGCTGGGCTTCCCCAGCCACTCTGGGCAGCTTCCAACAAAATACTAAAATACAGTAATCCATTAACATTAAAAGCTTCCCTAAATAGGGCTGACGTCAGATGTCTTCTAAAAATCTGGTAGTTGTTGTTCTCTTTGACATCTGGTGGGAGGGCATTCCACAGGGCGGGCGCCACTACCAAGAAGGCCCTCTGCCTGGTTCCCTGTAACTTGGCTTCTCGCAGTGAGGGAACCACCAGAAGGCCCTCAGCGCTGGACCTCAGTGTCCGGGTAGAACGATGGGGGTGGAGACACTCCTTCAGATATACTGGATAACCCAGTCATGTCCAGCTCCCAAGCGACTGCGATCTACTCCTAGTATTTAAAAATGGCAGTGATATAACCAATGTTATTGCCAAGAGTTGTCAAGCTTTTTGGGGAGACAGTGTCCAAAGTTGAGCTTTTTTAGGAGGGAGTGACCACAGTTATTTTTTGTTTGTTGGGGGGGAAAACAATCTTCCCGCGAATGGCCAGCTGCACACCCGCAAACGACCAGTTGGACATGCCTGACATAACCTCACAGACTGAATGGTCTGGCTATTTCAATGCTTAGATCTCTTAGCATCTTGAGGAAATATAAACATGGGGATGGGGAGAATGAATAGGGTCATTTGTCCTACGTTAGAAATCCTCTGTTTGAAGGACTGTCCAGTTCATCCTATTTAAATAGAACTGCCCATCAAGAGTTAGCACTGGGGCAGGTGACCGAGAAGCCACACAGGTCATCTTGTCACAGTATTAATTTTGGACATAGCACTTGCAAAATTTTCTAAAAGTGATATGTTAAAGGACGTACACAGAGAGAAAGCAACAACGGCTAACCAAAAGCTTGGTTTTTAGCAATGATCTGATCCTTCCTCTCCTTCCTCAACATCCCCCCAAATGCTCCACATTGGCACCAGTTTTTGAGTCAAACGGGGAACTGGGGAGACTGCATGGAGTTAGGACCTCAGTGCTTATACCTTAGCAAGATAAAAGATTTGAGATGTTCTGCCCTTGAACAGGGCAGACAGGTGAGATCAAATACCGTGCTCAAAATTCGACCACCAGCTGAAAATCACAGCAAGCAACTAGCCCTCCGAGCAGTCAAAAGTACAGGCAGTCTAAAATTATCCTCTGCTAATTAAATAAAGCAGGGACAAATGCACTAACGTGTTTTCTATGTCTTGCACTCTGGTAGCTTAACTCGACGGAGCAGCTGGCTTGCGTCTTAGTCATCCAGAATACGTGTGGAGACTTTACAAATAAGATGGCCATCCCCGGGAGGATCTACGAAATGGAGGGTGAGGCACCAAAAAATGATTTATAATGGGGGAGCCAACATGATGTCCTTCAAATGTTGTGGACGGCAACTTCCTACAGCCCCAGGAAGCATGGCCCCTGGTCAGAAATTATAAGAGCAAAGGCCCACAACTTGGCTCCCTTTGCTTTAGGAGAGCTGCCACATGACTGGATGCTAGGTTAACTGAAGAAAAAAATATATATTGGACATGAAATTATTTCGAAGGTCCAAACTCAATGGGTCACAGTGTTAGAAACTCAGATATATAAGCTAATTGCCAAATGGCACCTTAATCCTGGGTTAGGGTTGCCACAACAGAATGCCTAAGTGCCATTTCACTCCAATGTGGTGGCTCCCAATTAGCTAATTACTGAGGACCCCCTATTTTTCAAAAGCTAAGCCACGGACTCCCTACTTTTGAAAACGTTGATTTCTCTATGGTAGTTACCTCTGCAAAGCATTTTTTTAAAAACAAAATTGGGGTGGCCCCGAATAAGCAAAGGATTTTAGGTATACTAAAAAAAATCCCAGACTAGGGCCGAGCGATATCTGGTTTTCAACATCGCGATATATCAGCAATTAAACATCACAAACAGGCATGTCCAAAGTCAGTTTCGGGGGCCTAATCCAACCCATCGGTCAGTTTAATCCGGCCCCTGTGGCAATTTATTTCAACCCTAAAAAAAGGTCAACAACTTTGTTTGGCCCTATGGTTGGCCCTCACGGCCCTTTACTTCATCAAATCTGGCCCTCTTTGAAAAAAATCTGGACACCACAGCTAGTCCAATATATCACAATGTCCGAAATTGGAAATCAGGCGTGGGGATGTGGGAAGGAGCAGTCATGGAGATCAGGAGGGTGGGGGTGGTGCCTTGAAATTGGCTGCCCCGCTCTCCCTCATGTGAGGAGCGATATATTGCCGCGTATTGCCAAGTCAAATTGTTATTGCGGTGTGATTTGGATCGATAAATTGAAAAACAGCACAGCGCTAGAACAGTCCCTAAAATTTGTGATGCAAAAATGACGAACATTTGGTTGGGGAGAGGCAAGGGATGGGGCCACGGACCCCACAGGTACATTCCTTGGACCCCTAATTGGGAACTACTGTTCCAATGGATTCGGCCATAGTTTCGCCTTCTCCCAAGGCTTTACAGTCCCTTAGGGCAAGCAGTCCCCTTTATTGAATGCTGGGAAATGTTATTACGTGCTGATGTGCCTTATCTGCCTTCAGCTCCAAAACATGGTAACTGCAGCACAGATGAATCATCACCAGATGGGAAAATATACTAGGGGGTCAGGGGGTCAGGTGACAAGTAGATTTAGCTGCTGCTAAATATAAGAAGGAAGAAGCAAAATTATGTTGGGAAGTAAATAAATCTCCAGCTTGCTTGCTGCAAGTTATTCAGTTTTCATCTCTTTCCCTCTCTCTTCCAGTTTGCAATCTGAAATTTGGAAATGAAAAATGCAAGGAGGGGGAGAAGAGGAAGGAAGTGGGTTTTGGTTGGGAGGCTGTTTTCTCAGCTCCAGGCTGTCAAAGAAAGGAAATGTGTGAGACGAATATGAGGGGGAACCTGGAAACAAGCCCATCTCTTCCTTTAAATTTATGAATTAACAGACCAGGGTTGCGTCAAACTACCTAGTTGTAGTCAACTAATTTCTACTCAGATTCGTTGGAACTAAAAGTATGGTTAACTGAGGACCATTAATTGTAATGGGTTGAATACAACCCACAGCTTAGACACCACTTTGTGTTTCAAAATGAAATCCTAAAGTAGTCCACAAATAAATAAAATGGCAACAAAATATCTCAAGAATATCATCCCCCTTGGCCAAAGGCAGAGGCCAGGACAATGGCAGATGATCCATTAGGACAAATGGGGCACTGTCTCACCACCCTCAATGCTATGGACTGGCTGCATGTAGAGGAGTGGCTGGAGGCAGCTGCTGGGGAACCCCTTGGGAACACCCAGGGGAAGAAGGTTCAGAGCCAGGGGATTGGTGGTAGGGTGATGATGAGTGGTCAGAGGGAGCCCTGGATACAGAATTGACCTGCGCCTCCATGGACAGCTGTGAGTCCAAAATGACTCCCTGGCATCACACCTGGTCCTTCAGGGGCACAGTTACCCCATTCAGGACCAGGAAGTCCTCCACACCAGCCTGCCCCCTGTCCCCCAAGAACAGTACTTCTGTCTTGTCAGGATTCAACCTCAATCCATTAGCCGCCATCCATCCTCCAACTGCCTCCAGGCACTCACACAGGACCTTCACCGCCTTCACTGGTTCTGATTTGAAAGAGAGGCAGAGCTGGGTATCATCTGCATATTGATGGACACCCAGTCCAAACCCCCTGATGATCTCTCCTAGCGGCTTCATGTAGATATGCTCAAATGAGTATAATCTCAAGCCTTGAAATGAACAGCATAAGGAAAAAATAATGTCTGATGGAACCACAATCCCTTGTTCGAAGTCTAGCATCAACATCAAGGGTCAAGGATATAATATTTGTTTATTAATTGAGAACACCCACCAACTGCTTAATTAAACTATCGTTTGAAGATGAGCCTGAGAGATACGGCACAGAGATTAACTGAAACCAAATACTGCAAAGAGATTAAATTGAGCCAAGCTATCATTCATCAAATTAAATAAGTGTGTTTGGCATGAGTGTTTCAACCAGCAAATAACAGACAATGTTTTTTCCTCCGGATCAGATTCAGCAAAGTATTATTAATTGTTGTTAAACGACAAACAGTTATACCGAAGAGGAAATAAGATCTTATCCAAACTTAGTTGAAAGAAATACGTTTTTCATGGGTTTATGGACATTCAGCAAAGAAGAGGCTTAAAGACACACCGTTATTCTTAATGTAAGTAACTGGAACATCTTTCTTAACGCCTGCAATAATCTGTCTTCTTCCTGCTCTATGGTCATCCGTTCCTTCTCAACATTACTAAGTATTTATTTAAGGAGAGGAGTGGAGAATCCATTTCATGCCTTCTTCCGGACAAGGGCTGCGCTTCTTTAATGTCACAGAATTTAAAGCTGTGCTGAATCGCCTGCTACGTTCTCGCCAGGTAATTATTATTATTCTTCCTAATAAGAAATAAGGAATAATTCGTTCTGGCTTGGGAGGAGCATAGATCTCTGCAGAGAACTGAGCTCTAACCCAAATTCATGGACAACTTATTAAGCCACCCTATGACTTATGAAATTTCAATTTGCCGTCAAACATATATTTGAAGCCATAAGGTCTAGAAACTTGTTTGAAAATCATATTTTTAAAAAAGCTGAGACTAGGGCTGGGCAATATATTGATACAGTGGTACCTCGGGTTAAGAACTTAATTTGTTCTGGAGGTCTGTTCTTAATCTGAAACTGTTCTTAACCTGAAGCACCACTTTAGCTAATGGGGCATCCCTCTGCCGCCACACTGCTGCCACACGATTTCTGTTCTCATCCGGAAGCAAAGTTCTTAACCCGAGGTACTATTTCTGGGTTAGCGGAGTCTGTAACCTGAAGCGTCTGTAACCTGAAGCGTATGTAACCCGAGGTACCACTGTATATTGTCCAAAACTGGTTTGAAGTCCGTATCATGATACCGGTTTCATAATTTCTAACCTGGCAATATATTGTGAATCATGATGCGTGTTTCCGTGTGTGTGCAATGCAGAAATCACAATATGGGGAAAACCGTGAATCCAGCTAATGCTTCTCTCGATTCCTGCAGTCCCTGTTAACTCTGCCAACTCAGCTCTCCCCTGCCCCCAGCAGAGGGAAACGGATTAGAACAGGCACTGGCAAAAATCCCAAGGCAAGAAAAACCATGAAGCCAGCCATCTAACATAGCTCCATCCTTATTTCAGATATTGTGATATATCGGTATATCACAATGTTTGGATGGTGATATATCATGATGTTGAAAACCACATACCACCCAACCCTAGCTGAGATTCTAGGGGAATTAAGATACGGGTACTCATTTGTCTTGCACCTGATGCACCCTTGATATCCAGCAATGTATATGCTACCCTAACCATTCTGTCCTTGTGCCATAAACATGCCCGCCTACTTTTTGAGACACTTTGCTGCAAAGCAATTTAATGTTTGCTGGAGTGTGGCACAGCCGTGCTAAGATTTATTAACTCATCAGATGAGAAATGGCTCTCGCCTTCAGTCTGCCGAGCTCTTCCAGCGCTGCCTGCAGAGGAATACAATTATTCTACTGCCAACACCGTGACCGTAAACGCCAACTCTCTCCCCACCAGCACCCTTTGCTCGGCGTGCCAGTTCCTTTCAGAAGAAACAAACAATCTGTTTCCTACCTTTTCTTAATTATGCTGGGATTTGCAGTTACCAGCTGAGTTTTGGACCCAACGTCCTTGCTGTATTCACTGGTGAGAGGTGGAAGATTGCATCTGAAAGAAACAGAAACACACCATGTATTTTAACTTCTCTGCTGTTTTCCCCCCTCTCTCTTTCTTTCTTTCCTTTTTTATTTCCGCCGTTTGAAAAGAAAAGAAAAACTCCATCAAGCACCAAAGACTGGCACGACCAAGCAGTGGCTGGAGTCCAGTGTCACAGCAAATACCGTATTTTTTGCTCTATAAGACTCACTTTTTCCCTCCTAAAAAGGGGAAATGTGTGTGCATCTTATGGAGCGAATGCAGGCTGTGCAGCTATCCCAGAAGCCAGAACAGCAAGAGGGATTGCTGCTTTCCCTCTTGCTGTTCTGGCTTCTGAGATTCAGAATATTTTTTTTCTTGTTTATCTCCTCCAAAAACTAGGTGCGTCTTATGGTCTGGTGCGACTTATAGAGTGAAAAATACGGTTCACTGCATGCAGAATCACTGAATTGTAGAGTTGGAAGAGACACACGATGGTCATCTATTCCCAGGTGCAATTCTTGGCATCTCTAGTTAAAGGGCAACTACATGGGCAAGACTGCAGGGCCTTTCCTCAAAGGCCAGCAGAATTTGGCACCTTTGAAATATTTCCACCCCAAGCGGTCATTACAAGAACTCTAGAACTAAGAAAGAGTGCCTGAGCTTCCTCCCTTCCTCCTCCCTCCCAGTCCCCTTTCCTCTTGCGCCTTTTGGATTGTCAAGCTGAGGGTACAGACTGCCTTCTCGATGACGTTTCCAAGTCAGCACTCCTGTCTTTGCTCCTAACCTGCTCTGGGAGCTTATGGCTCCAGAGCAGGGTAAGAATGCTTTAAATAAATAACGTATAATAAATAAAGTGTCCCTACCTGGCTGCAAAGAGTGAGGGGTCTACAGGGTACTCCAGCCCCCTGAGATACCACCCCAAGGATTACTGGATTGCACCAATGAAAGCTTGTCATTGTTTCAGTTATTTAATGCACATGTATCTCTGCCTGATCAGAAGGTCGGCGGTTCGAATCCCCGTGACGGGGTGAGCTCCTGTCACTCAGTCCCTGCTCCTGCCAACCTAGCAGTTTGAAAGCACGTCAAAGTGCAAGTAGATAAATAGGAACCGCTCCGGCAGGAAGGTAAACGGCATTTCTGTGCGCTGCTCTGGTTCGCCAGAAGCGGCTTAGTCATGTTGGCCACATGACCCGGAAGCTGTACGCTGGCTCCCTCGGCCAATAAAGCGAGATGAGCACCGCAACCCCAGAGTCAGCCACAACTGGACCTAATGGTCAGGGGTCCCTTTACCTTTAATCTCTGCCTTTGTTCAAAAAACTTGGTGTCGCTAGTTCTCCTGTGATCTCCCATGAAGACGGTATCACCATATAGTCACTAGGTGGCAGTAGACTTAGTTGCATCTGTGTGGAGTCCAGATTGGCCTATCTGTTTCTGTTCATTTTGCAGAGGAGCAATCAAGTTTTTGTTTAGATTCTTGGCAGGTGCCTCATCTAAGCCTGCCATGTTTTCTCCCTTCCCAGCAATATATAACAAGGTCTTGGCATCATCAGTAGAAGTGCATCATCTGCCTTCTCTGACCGTTCTCTGACTCATTGTTCCAATGACTGTCCTTCCACTTTATTTTATTATTTTATTGATGGATTAAATTTATATACTGCCCTCCATCTGAAGATCACAGGGTGGCTTGCAGTATAAAAACACAAACATACATAACATAATAACAAACAAAACACGCACCCCTCTACAGCGTAGTAAGCCATAGGTTGTAATCAGAAAAGGCCGGGGAGAAGAGGAATGTAATGGTATCTGGCGAGCTTCCCTGAGGAGAGAATTCCACAAATGGGGAGCCACCACAGAAAAGGCTGTTATTGTGTTGCCACCCTCTGCCCCTCATGACGAAGGGCCTCGGCTGATGATTACAGGGTCTGGGGTTGGTTCATATGGGAAGAGGTGGTCCTTGAGATATTGTGATCCTGAGCCATTTCAGGCTTTATAGGTCAAAACCAGCACTTTGAATTGGGACCAGAAACAAATTGGCATCCAGTGCAGTTGGGCCACCAGGACTGGTGATGTATGCTCAAACCATCTTGCCCCAATGAGCAACCTGGCCGCTGAATCCTGACCAGCTGAAGTTTCCTAACCATCATCAGAGGCAGCCCCATGTATAACACACTGCAGTAATCTAGCCTAGAGGTTACCAGAGCACAGACAATAGAAGTTAAGCTATCCCTGATAGGGGCGCAGCTGGAGCACCAGCCAAAGCTGATGGAAGGTATTCTGCTCCACTGAGGTCACCTGAGCTTCAAGCAACAACAATGGACCCATAAGAACCTCCTTCAGAGGGATTGCAACCCTATCAAGAACAGGCAACCTCCCATCCATCCGGTCTAGGGGACCACCCACTAACAGAGTCTCACTCTTATCTGGATTGAGCATCAGTTTGTTGGCCCTCATGCGGCCCATTACCAAGGCAAGATAGCAGTCCAACATATCCACTGCCTCACCTGCAGATGTTAAGGAGAAGTAGAGCTGTGTGTTGTCAGCATATTGCTGACAACGTACTTCAAACCTCCAGATAACCCCACCCAGCGCTTACATGTAGATGTAAAACAGCATGGGGGATAAAATTGAACCCTGAAGAACTCCACGTTGAAGGCTCCACAGGATCAAAGACCACTCCCCAAACATCACCCTCTGGAAACGACCATCCAAGTAGGACTGGAACCACCACTGCAAAAGGATACCATGGTTGATGGTATCAACAGCTACTGAGAAATGAACAGGGACACATTTCCCCTGTCTCTCCTGACAAAAGGCAACCAAAGCATTTAAATTATGATTTAAATGGATCTAGAGAATCGGTTTCCTCCAAGAGTACTGAAATCTGATCCACGGCCACCCGCTCAAGAACCTTGTCCAAGAACGGAAGATTGGCAGCTGGCCGGTAATTACGCAGATTTGATATAATTACTTTATCTCAATACTGATCAGCCAAAAAGATTCAAAGTATGTTCAAATCAGTCATGGATACTGTTCCTTTGGGAACTCAAGTTTACTCCATCACAGTAGGGGCTGTGTTTTGTTTTTCTCACCAGGATAGCTTCATCAGACAATATTGCAGAAAACGAAGGATGTGGCTGAGTAGCCAGATGGAAACTCAGCAAGAACCCAGCTATTCAGACCAAACCCTGTGGCTTCTAGACAATGGAACAGGGGAAATATGCTGATTGGCTGCATGCATTTTAATGACACCAAACCCACCAAAAAAAACAGCCGGAGACCCAAGTTTGGGAAACCCTGCATTAGACAATCTAAGCACACAGGAATGTTCTGCAGGGTTCAAGGGAAGGATAAGACACCAGATCAGTCTTTCCCAAACCTGGTGGGAAAGTTGTAGTCCAAGTTGGTGGCCATCTTGTGGTTGCAAATTATGCCGGACTACATAGGCTTTTGGCCTGACCCAACAGAGCCTCTCTTACGTTCTTATGCTCAATTCCATAGTTTAAATGTGTGCCAAATGAAGGAGATTTTCCTTTTGTCTGTCATGAATCTTCCAACATCCAACTTCACCAAAATGACTGCTATATTTTGAGAGGAAGCGTCTCCCCACCCGCTTTCTCTACCCGACTGTGTTTGACTGACATAGATAAAATGGGCCTGTAAAACGCATTTCTTTTCAGAAAGATCCCCCCTCCCGTCCCTCATATCTCCTCCCGTTAAGACGTGCCGTGAAATTTCACATTTCACTTCACCTTGATCTGTGGAACCCACAACTTGTCAGCTTGCTTGTACCGTCCTTTACACACATCACATCAATATCCTTTCCAGCGCGGGGAACTGACAGAGAAGCCAAATGCAAGTCTCGGCTCTGCCGCCTTTGAAACCTTTTCAAAGCCTCAAAGTGACATTAGCGGTGCGAGGGCTGGGGGCCGAGTGAGCGCCAGTTTCTTCCTATCTGTGAGGGCTATTAAACTCTTCCATTTATGCCTAAGTGAGCAACAGTCCTCTGTGGCTCCAATATATCACGCTGGCAGGAATTACAGGGCCAGAAACTGTACTGAATACTCCAGGATAAAACAGCCAGTGCTCTAGGGATAAGGAGCCTTTTGTCAACATCCATGGTCAGCCACTAGCTTTCTTGGGAAGCCATTTTGAAAACAAGGCTGGAGCAGGAACTCCAAGACCCCAGACGGCATCCTCCAAAGGCCTGCTCACAATTCCTCATGCCACGGATTTCGCCGTTATTTTTGCCCGAGTTGGCAACTGGGAGGTCAGGTTACATAGGCAGTGGCCTCATGGCGTTCAGACCACTGGTCCATTCGACTCATTGTTGTCTACACTGACTGGTAGCAGCGCTCTGGGGTTTCTGACAGGGGTGTCTCCCAGCCCTATTTTGAGATGCCATCATAAGAGTGAACCCGAGGCCTGCTACATGGGAAGGAGATGCTATAGCCCTTAGCTTCAGTCTTCCATTTAATTTTTCTTATCTTTATCGGATTTTATCCTAGGAGTATATTTCAAAAAAGCAATAGTAAAAGCACTGGGACACCAGGAACTTATGACTACTGATTCATTTAATGCAGCATTGTCTACACGTTTCCCAAACGTGGGTCTCCAGCTGTTGCTGGACTACAACTCCCATCATCCCTAGCTAGCAGGACCACTTGGTAGAGCATGAGACTCTTAATCTCAGGGATGTGGGTTTGAGCCTCACGTTGGGGAAAAGATCCCTTGCTGGACTAGATGGGCCCAACTCTACAATTCTAACTTCACGGAGCTGTAGCTCTGTGAAGGGAATAGGGGTCGCCTAAGCACTCTCAGCGATGGGACGCGGGTGGCGCTGTGGGTTAAACCACAGAGCCTAGGGCTGGCCGATCAGAAGGTCGGCGGTTCAAATCCCCGTGACGGGGTGAGCTCCCGTTGTTCGGTCCCTGCTCCTGCCAACCTAGCAGTTCGAAAGCACATCAAAGTGCAAGTAGATAAATAGGTACCACTCCAGCGGGAAGGTAAACGGCATTTCCGTGCGCTGCTCTGGTTCGCCAGAAGCGGCTTAGTTATGCTGGCCAGATGACCCAGAAGCTGTACACCGGCTCCCTCAGCCAATAAAGCGAGATGAGCGCCACAACCCCAGAGTCAGTCACGACTGGACCTAACGGTCAGGGGTCCCTTTACCTTTAAGCACTCTCAGCAGCCTGTACAAGCTACAGTTCCCAGGATCCATGGGGTGTGCGCAAGTGTTTCAAGTGGTATAGCGCTTTCAATGCATGGCGCAAATGGAGCCTTGAAAGTCTTCTCTTTCTGAGAAAACGAAGTTCTTCCGTGCAAGGAAGCCAGAAGGGACCTGAGGCTCTTCCATCTCTCTTAGTTTTCCGTTTGATTAAAGCACCTTCACTCAGCTATCTTCCCCTGATGCCTCTGAAGAGTGACAGGCACCTGCGTTGTTAAGGGAGGGAAAAGCCCTATCTGCCATGGCTCTTTCCCACCCCTATAAATCACTCTGAGGGAGAAAAAGAGACCGTCTACGGTTAATTAAACACAAGCAAAAGGGAAAAACCCTTTTGTGGTTGTGGGTGAGAAACAAGGGGGATGGAGGGAACAGGGACGCCATGCCACAGCGGGGCCACTGTCTTACCGCATGACAAAGTCCGCTTGGTCTATCTGTCTGCCGCAGCCGCTGTTCTTCAGAATCCCACCATTTCCTACCACAGAGCATTTCTTCAATGGCAGCTGGAATGGCGTTGCCTGGCAACAGAAAACAAGGCCCGTTTTTATGGACGACTTCACACAGGAGCTTCAGGTGGAGACCAGCTAAGCGGGAAGGGGTTTTAGGTTTTAGGGAGAGGTTAGGCCAAGGTTGGAGTCAAAAGCGGAGTCCTCCAGATGTTGTAGGACTACAACTCCCATCGGGCCCTCTTCATGTTCCACATTGGCCAGGGCGGAGGAGAGTTTAGAGGGCAACAACATCTGGAGGGACACGAGTTTCCTGCCACAGCAGTTTTGTTATCCATCACAGAAGGGAAGGTTTCCAACTTTTTATGGTGGAAAAAACACACATCACATATAATCAGAGGAAGAAACGGGACAAGAGCTAACCATCATAGCAGATCTAAGAGATTTTACATTTGAATACATTGCAACCTCTTCGGTATTGGGCTTATTAGACCTCTCAAGGAGAAATACTCGGAGGATTGACCAGGGAACTGCCTCACAAAGTCATAAATTATGGTCTCTCTGCTTATTTAATTGTGGTTTTGACTGCAGTTCATAGAATCATAGAATGATAGTGTTGGAAGGGAACTTGAGGGTCTAGTCCAGCCTTCTGCAATGCAGGAATCTTGACTAGAACATACATGACAGATGGTTGCCCGTCCAACTTCTGCTTAAGAACCTCCAAGGAAGGAGAGTCCACGACATCTCAAGGGAATCTGTTCCATTGTCAAACACCTCCTACCACCAGAAAGTTCTTCCTGATTATTAGTCGGAATCTGCAGAAGAATTTGCAGAAGAGGGAACTGAGAGTGCGAGAAGGAGCATTTGTGAGAGTTGAAGATTCCTCAGTTCAAGCTCATACCTATTACGCGGCAGCAATTCTCCGTTGTTAATTATGCCAATTTCCCACAGAGACCGACAATATTGAATAAAAAATACAAACAATATTTATACTATTATAATCAAGGCTGAACAAAATTTGAAACGCTTCGGTGCCTCGGGCAGTTGGCTATTAATCCTGGCGCCCAGGAATGTAAATATCTTCTGGGTTCTTCAGCAAGCTGCTTTCTAAGAAACATCATGCAGGGGCCTGAGCATACAAATCATCCTTTCTAGCCTGGCAAATGATCAGCATAATATAATTATGTCTGTATTGTAATTGTTATAGGGTGCCTTAGTAAAAATAGAATGTTATCGTAAGCAGAGTTATAGGAGTGCGGGCACAAATCTAGGGAACTGTCTTCTGCTAAACCAGGACATGAGTCTATTTAGCAGGGGTGGGCAATCCCAGGTCTGGGAGTTGCTTGTAGCCCTCCAGACCTCACTATCCGGCCCTCATTATCCTCCCAAGACCACACCACTACTTCCCAGGATATATCCCTAGTTGGCTGTTCTGTATACCCTCAAAGTGCTTTTGCATGGCTGAAACTGGATAGCTCAGTCGGTAGAGCACGAGATGCTTAATATCAGGGTCTTGCGTTCGAGTCCCACTTCGGGCAAAAGATTCCTATATTGCAGGGGGTTGGACTAGATGACCCTTATGGGCCCTTCCAACTCCACAATTCTATGAAGTTTCCCATTTAACTTAGATATTGCCTCTTGGTTACTTGAATGGAAGGTAAAGGGGTGTTTGTATGCGTGCACAGAAACAACCGACTTCTGCTTGGCTGGAATGCAGCCTGCTGGACAAAAGGTAAAAGTCTGAATCTGGACTCAATCGCCACTGGTCCCTGGCCCCCAAAAAGCTCACCATAAGAGAATGGGACCTGGGGCTGAAAACATTTCCCACCCCTGCCATATTATCTACAAGGTCTTATCCCCCCCCCAGCACCTAAAAACCCTGGGATTTTCGGACTTCCAGGTTGGCGCCATCGATAATGGCGGATTCCCTCTGAGTCTCTGAGGGGCCAGCTCCGCGGGATCGGGTCTGACCACTGCGGCGAAGCGGGGACCCTTTAAAAATCACAGGCGGGTGAAGCCTGTGAACGTGGGGACTCGGTGGGCACCTTTTGCGCCCCCCCAAACTGCGAAGGGACCCCTTTAGGGGTTCCGGAGCAAGACGGGGTGAGCGGCGCGGTGCTGAGAGTCGACTTCTCTTTCCGCGGAGTGAAGCCGCACAGCCGTTATCGGAGAGCGCTGACTTCTTCCTGGGACAATTTGACCTCTAAAGTAACTACCCGTGAGTAGAATAAAATTGGATTTAAAGGGAAAAATAATTTAATTCGGCACCGAAGCGGGAAGGCATAAACAGGAAGTCCGCCTTCCTTTCTTGTAAATAGATCAAAGCAAAGAGACTGTAAGCGGAAACCTTGAAAGACGTTTGAAAAAAGACTTAAATCCTAACATCAGAAAAGCGATCTCCCCTCTGGATTGCAGGAGAGGAGGGGGGGAAAGGTTTGAACTGTATCTACCTGCAAAAAAAGAGGGAAAGGAAGCTAAAATCCACCGCTTAGAGCCTGGGAACGGACTGCCCTGAGACAAGGAATGCCGCTCTGTGAAAAGCACTATCAGTAAACAGAGTACTTTTGACAGCTAACTCTGCAAGAGAGATACATTTGTTTCTGGACTTTAAAGTAACTGATTAAGTGCAATTGAAACTGTTGTTTTTTCGTGAATTGGGGGATTTATAAGGACTATTTTTTTTTCTTTCAAGTTGTAAGTTTTGACTGTTACTGTGTCCCCCTAGAGGAGGCTTGATATTGCTACAATAACAACTTGAGGCTTGGGGAACTTTCCACTTCAAAACAAATTCTAACCGTGGGACTGACCTTGGACTTCTTGAGACTGTTATGGCAGATGGAAGAGGAAAGTTAGAGGAAAAAACTACTAGGTCTGGCAGACCCTATCAGACAGATGCTGCGTCGCAGCGAAGAGCTTCAACATCTGGTCCTTCTGGACCATCTGGATTATCAGGGGCTGCACCCCCACAAGTTAAACCAAAAGTAATGTCGTCTGAAGATGTTTTGGCTCTGGCACTAGGAAAAATTAATGAATCTTTGGAAAATTTAACTAAACAAGTAGCTGAAACAAATAAACAAGTAGCCGAAGCATCAGTTAAAATTGATCAAAATACTACAAGTATCAATAATTTGGGACAGAAGGTGAATACCAATACAGAGACTATTGAGAAACTGTTACAGGAATCTGCTTCGACCCGAAAGACAGCTGAAGAAGCAAAAGACATAGCAAGTGCCACTCAAGAGAAGATACCACCGATATATAGGCAACTCGAGGATCACGGTTTGACGTTGTCTATGATTGAATTGAAAGAGAAACAAAGAAATTTGAGAATCAGGGCTGTACCAGAACTTGAGAAAGATAACTTGATTGACTTTCTTACGCAGGAATTCACAGACTTCTGGCAACAGGATTTGGGGAAGGAAGAATTTAAGATAGTGAGCGCATTTAGACTTGGAAGAGGAGGAAGGAAGAACAAGGCGAGAGACTGTTTGATTACCCTTCGAACAAAAGAGGAGAGAGATAAAATCTTGAATCTGCATTACCAAAAGACTCTGAAAATATATGACTCAAGTGTGGAGATATTTAAGGACATTCCAAAACATCTTTTGGACTTAAGGCTTAATTACGGAGATCTGGTTGCCCTGCTGAGAAGTAATAGAATCATCTTTAGGTGGGAATTCCCCCAAGGTCTGTCCTTTAAATATAAAGGAAGAAAGATAAAAATAAGATCAGTCAGTGATAAAGACAAATTCTTGAAAGACCACGGAGAAGATCTACAGAAAGAAGTGGAATCTGGAGAAGAGCCAAAAGCACTGGAAAGAGGAATAATAGATATAGCAAACTTATCTTTTGGATTGCATGGTCCAGAGAAAGTGACACCACCGACAGAACAAGAACAAACACTTGGCGCAGCTGGAGGTAAAGCGAAGTAACCCCATCATGGCTCTGCAACTTTTAAGTTGGAATTGTAATGGCCTCAATTCTCCTCGGAAAAGGAAAAGTGTCTTTCACTTACTAAAAAAGGAACAGCAGCAAGAATACTCATTGCAAAGTATTGGAAGACACAAGATCTACCCACTCTGGAAGAATGGCAGATGAAGGTGATTGACTATATGGAACTCGCGGAAATGACTGGCAGAATCCGAGACCAGGGAGAAAGAGTCGGTGGAAGAAGATTGGAAGAAATTTAAAGACTATTTACAGAAATATTGTAAAATTAATGAATGTTAGAATGATGTTGGATAGAAATTAAGTGGTTTTCAGCTGTAATACTATAAGGGAATATGAAAAATGGATTATTAATAGGTAAAAATTTAACGTTACAATATTTTAAGATTAAAGATTAGGATAAACAAAGAGGGTAAGGATTTGCTGAACCAACAAACTGAACTGGAATACAAAACAGGGAGGCGTGAGGAGGTCCGGGAAATAATGGAAAGATTGAGTTGTTTTTAGCCATTTTTATTTTTGTACTCTTTTCTTTTCTTTTTTTTGTTTTGTTTTGTAACATTTTGAAAATCTTAATAAATATCTTTTAAAAAAAATAATAAAAACCCTGGGATTTTCCGCATACAAAACTCTACCCCTAAACTAGCTCAGTCACTACCGCATGAAACTCATAATCTCAAGGTCGTGGGTCCGAGCCCCATGCTGGGCAAAAGATTCCTGCATTGCAGGGGCTAGACAAGATCACCCTCGTGCTTCCTTCCAACTCTACAAATTCTATGATTCTATGGTTGCTCCAAAAAGCCACTGTCTTGATCATGGGTAGGTAAACTAAGGCCCAGGGGCCGGATCCGGCCCAATCACCTTCTCAATCCGGCCCGCAGACGGTCCAGGAATCAGCATGTTTTTACATGAGTAGAATGTGTCCTTTTATTTAAAATGCATCTCTGGGTTATGTATGCGGCATAGGAATTCGTTCATATTTTTTAAAAAAACACAGTGGTACCTCGGGTTACATGCACTTCAGGTTACATACGCTTCAGGTTATGGACTCCGCTAACCCAGAAATAGTACCTCGGGTTAAGAACTTTGCTTCAGGTTGAGAACAGAAATCATGCTCCGGCGGCGCGGCAGCAGCAGGAGGCCCCACTAGCTAAAGTGGTGCTTCAGGTTAAGAACAGTTTCAGGTTAAGAACGGACCTCTGGAACAAATTAAGTACGTATGTGATTTTTAAAAATGTTTTTCCTCTCCATTTCTTTTATTTATTTATTTTATTTATATACAGTGGTACCTCGGGTTACAGACGCTTCAGGTTACAGACTCCGCTAACCCAGAAATAGTGCTTCAGGTTAAGAACTTTGCTTCAGGATGAGAACAGAAATCATGCTCCGGCGGTGCGGCGGCAGCAGGAGGCCCCATTAGCTAAAGTGGTGCTTCAGGTTAAGAACAGTTTCAGGTTAAGAACGGACCTCTGGAACAAATTAAGTACGTAACCAGAGGTACCCCTGTACAGTCCGGCCATAGCAGTCAACTTTTCCCTTTTTTAAAGGGAAATTCCCTTATTCCAAATAGGATTTCTCGCAAGAAAAGGGAAAAGTTGACAGGTATGAGTCCGGCCCCCCACAAGGTCTGAGGGACAGCGGACTGGCCCCCTGCTGAAAAGGTTTGCTGACCTCTGGTCTTGATTCAGGCCTGAATAAAGGGGATCAAATTTATCGGTAAGTCCTCATTCAGCAACACTGCACTCCAAGATGCCTTATAGTAGGTTAGCTCACCTCAGTGTTGTCTACTTTGACTGTGGTTCTTTGGGGTCTCAGGCAAAGGAGGTTATTTTGCATCACCTGTTCTTTTAACCAGTTGACATCAGGTAGGGAACCGAGGGCCTTCCGCATGCAAAAGCGTGTGATCTACCCCTGATATTTCACCTGGGACTCAAAATCTGAGAAAGAGGGAGCTTCTCCTTTTTAAACCTCCACGTATTTTTCATCTTTATTAAAAGCACGCTGGATAAATCAGTAACTATCAGATCAGGATCTCCCTTTGAAGAATTTCCTTGGATGACCCTTCCTCTTTGCTCACATAAAAGATGGTCCCAGGGGAACTCAATTGCTGGTTTTTGCGAGAAGACTTAATCATGTCTCCCCAACATAGCACACTTCATCCCATTGGACAGCGATAATATACAATGCATGCAGCTGTACTTTAGATGTGCAAGCAGGCAGCCTTGACTTCTTAATTTCTCAATACCTTGGATCGCCAAACAGTTAAAGCTTTAAAGGTCAGCACCAGCAGTTTCCATTGGTCTCAGTAAACCAACTGGTCCCAGTAAACCAAGATAGTGCTGCTATACAGTGGTAACTTGGTTTTCAAACGCTGAAAACCTGGAAGTAAGTGTTCTGGTTTTCGAACGTTTTTTGGAAGCCAAACGTCCGATGCAGCTGTTGGCTATTGTTTCTGGGGCGCCTGCACCAATCAGAAGCTGCGCCTTGGTTTTCCAACATTTTGGTCAAATAGAATTCCAGAACAAATTCAGTTTGGCGCTTTTGTTTTTGCTATTTATTTTGTGTTTTTGTTTTTGAGGCTTTTTCGGTTAATTTGTTTTTGTGACTGTATGGAACCCAGTTCAGCTACTGATTGATTGACTGATTGATTGTGTGACTGCGGAAATGAATAAAAGTCCTCTATCAAAACAACAACTATCAGTGCAGGTAAGAAAAAAATTTAATTTTAATTTTTATCATCTACAATACTGTCTTATTTATTTTATAGTACAGTACATTGATTACTGCTTTCATTTTATGGATCAACGGTCTCGTTAGATAGTAAAATTCATGTTTTAGAGGTTGTTTTTAAAAATCTGGAACAGATTAATCTGTTTTGCATTACTTTCTATGGGAAAGCATGCCTTGGTTTTGGAACGCTTTGGTTCTGGAACGGACTTCTGGAACGGATTAAGTTTGAGAACCAAGGCAACTTTGTATGTCCAATCTGCCTCTTAAAATAACCTGTGCATCATAATGACAGCCTTTTAGCTAGTGGAACACAAATGAAGCGCTGGCTGTGTATAATGCAACAGAAGGTGTCAGATCTAGAGATGGCCTTGGAAATATGATGACCTTTGATGAAGTGGTCTGCCTCGCTTACAGGAACATGTCAGGCCACAGCACCAGAATAATATGGAAAGTGTCAAACCTTGAACAGGAAGCTCGCTTGGATAGTAGGGATACAAAAAGAGGTTTTCTATCTGCACTCATAAAACCATTTGTTAAACCTCAAGATCTTAGGTACTCTTCCACAGTTTATTGTTGTGTGATTCACAAAAAGAGGTAGCCTTAAATCAGAAGGATGCTTTGGAAAAGGCGTTTTGTATTAAAGACGTGTCTGGTGTTGGCCATAAAACCTTGCAGGCTCTGACTAATAGAAAAGATATTGGAGTGATGCTTTACAATAGCAAGAGAAGAATGATGGATTCCATTCTGCTTTCCCGCACCGCCAAAATTCTATACAAATGAGCGGAGTGTATCTGAAGAAATGTGCATCCACACAAAAGCTTATATCAGAACAAACTTAGTTGGTCTATAAGGTGCTACTGGACAATTTTTTAAAAAATGATCTTTCGGGCCAGAAATGTGCTGCCGCTAAATGCCCAAAAGGGCTCTTTCTGGCCTATATAGTTTCTCCCATGTTTATCCTGAAACTGCTCGAGGGAGTGGAATTTTTCTTCTTTTTTCGCATCAGTAACACATCTTAGGAAGTGGTGACTAAGGTGAGGGCTTCTTGACACGACGAGAGCAAAGCGGAAGATAACTTGGAAACAGCCACAAATCTGCAGATGCTCCATGCGCACGTTATGAATGGCTATTTATCATGCAGTTGGGACTTGCAATGGAATGTCACAGTGTAGGGTGGCTCCTGCTAAGGGTTCAAGGTGGCCATTTCCAGGATACTCCATTCCACACCCCTTCCCACCAGTTCTCCATTCTGTCACCAACTCAGAACTCCTTAACCACTGAGCAACCTTCAGTCCTCTCTGGGCTATTCTGGTTCAGTTCAGTTTCCATCCTTAAAGCTTTTTGCACTTCCACAACCTTAGGGCTGTTCCTCCTTTTGCATGCAGATGGTGACTTTTTGCCTATGCAACTGTTATGTACTGAGTTGAATAGGATCCAAAATGCAGCAGTGTGATTGGTCCTAGAACAATGCAGCAGTATGATTAGTCTGCAGGAGCCACCCAATCCAGCTCCAGATGGAAGTGAATCCACAACATGATTGGCCTACAGGAGAATTCCGGAATTAGCCAATCACGTGCAGCCCATTGTGTAAATAATGTATATAAAGCAGATACTTTGGGGGAACATTCATTCCTCCTCACCACTATGAGCTGAATAAAGAGCATGAAATCCACTCTCGACTCTGAGTATATTTCAGCAACGATCTGCACTCAGCCTCGGACTGGACATTGCTAACAGAGGGAATGAGAGTCAGAGCCCCAACATTCTCTCTGCAGTTTTAGGGCACAGCTAGTCATTCATGTCCTGAATCGCTCCGTTGCTTACAGCGTGGTGCTGATAACACCAAGGTTGCAGGTTCGATCCCCATTATGGGACAGCTTAAAAATCCATTGCAAATGCAATGATCCTCACAGTCCCTTCTAACTCTAAATTCTACAATTCTGTGATGGAGGCTGATCTTTGACCAGATCTCTGGTGGGTTCTTTCTAAAGGAGGGTCAAAGAAAAAGGGGCTGCTTGTGAGCTACCAGGCACTATTCAAAGTATTAGTTCCATTCCTGAACCCTGTGTATGTTGGCGGAGCACATATAAGCACTTTCCACCCCCATCCCACCCCAATTTTACCTGTTTCACCCTGTTCTGGATCCCGCATGTCAGTGATCACGTGTCAATTGGACATGCTTAGGGAAGCTTTTAATGTTTAATAGGTTATTGTATTTTAGTGTTTTGTTGCAAGCCACCCAGAGTGGCTGGGGAAACCCAGCCAGATGGGCGGGTTATAAATAATAAATTCTTATTCTTATTCTTATTAAAGGTAAAGGTACCCCTGACCATAAGGTGCAGTCGCGGACGACTCTGGTGTTGCAGCGCTCATCTCGCTCTATAGGCCGAGGGAGCGGGCGTTTGCCTGCAGACAGCTTCTGGGTCATGTGGCCAGCATGACTAAGCCATAGCTGTCAACGTTTCCCTTTTTTTAAGGGAAATGCCCTTATTCCAAATAGGATTCCTCGCAAGAAGAGGGAAAAGTTGACAGCTATGGACTAAGCCGCTTCTGGCGTACCTGAGCAGCGCACGGAAACGCCGTTTACCTTCCCGCCGGAGTGGTACCTATTTATCTACTTGCACTTTGATGTGCTTTCAAGCTGCTAGGTGGGTAGGAGCAGGGACCGAGCAACAGGAGTCACCCCATCGTGGGGATTCGAACTGCCAACCTTCTGATCAGCAAGCCCAAGCCTCTGTGGTTTAGACCACAGCGCCACCCGTCCCCTTCCTGTACAGCATAAAAGACCCTAAATGTCTTGGGGTCCAAGTACTTGAAAGCTCAAGCAGATGAGCAGGGGAGCTCCCCTGCTCAACACACAAAAATTGGAGGTGGGGGGCAGAAGCCCAGAGGGGACTAAGAATGCTCAGTAGCTATGGGATGTGAAATGATAAGTGGACAAGAAAAATGGGAAACTGGGAAGCAGGAGGGCCTGGCTGGCTGGCAGCCCTAAACAGGAGCACTTGTTATTACGAGGATGAGACTCTACTGCAACACATGGTTGCAGTTCCCGCCTGTAATTATTAAGACTGATCTTTCACTCGCTCCACCTTGGGCAGATCCACAAAGCAAGGACGCCAGAGAAGGGAGGCAGGGACAAGGTCTGGGGGTTTAGTACTGTGAAGGCTGACTTCATTATGTGAATAAACAAGCGACTGGATGAGGCTGTATGAGATCACTGCAAGCTGTAAAGACCCCTAGATACACTCATTGTTTCCTGGCGCCAATTAATACAGCGGCACATTTTTCAGTGGCATCTAGGGATACATCTGATTAAATGTTATTTCTTCTGTTTGACTGCAGCCCCAGGAAAAAAACAACCAGATCTTTCAGGGTTTGCTCAACCTCTGAGTCAGACCAGACACACAGTTTGGAACCTTTAAAAACAGTGTTTTCTTTCTTTCTAGATCAGTGGTACAAAGGGACAACGTTCAACTTCAAAGCATTTTAAAATTAAAATGTTCCATACATTAGCATGAAGTATCATTCACCATACACAGGACTCCTCAGCTATCATCCTTCTTATCCCATGTTAAATCTAGCAAAGCGTTTGTACTTCGGGAGGAAAGTGGTTGTAAGGCACAAACACAAGAGTCTCTAAAGACTGACTGAATAACTACCTTGAAAGTGCAATGCTCATGCTTTGGAAGCCAGCGATATGTGCTAGCAAAATGGAGAGTGTTTTGAACACACAGAGAGTTTTGGAAATAGTTTTGAATTAGAGGAGGCCAATAGCCATCTAGTCTCGAAGGTTGGAAAAGAGGATTAGACAAATTCATGGAAGATGGAGCAAGCTTGCTTTCTCCTGCTCTGGAGGATAGGACTCAATCCAATGTATTCAAGTTACAAGGAAGGAGATTCCAACTAAACATCAGGAAGAACTTTCTGACAGTAAGAGCTGTTTTGACGGTAGAACGGACTCCCTCAGGAGGTGGTGCTCTCCTTCCTTGGAGATTTTAAGCAGAGGTTGGGTGGCCAACTCTCATGGATGCTTGAGCTGAGATTCCTCTGGTTACAGATTTTTTGGGGTGTGCATGGGCCCCCAGAATGAATTAAATCCGTAACCAGGGGGTCCACTGTACGTATCCACTTTTCTTTTCTTCCAGGATAAAGCTAGGACATGAAAATTAATTTTGGTTAGACAAGCCTATCCAGATACATAACTCAGCCATGAGTGTTATTTTAGAATGCTTTTCTTTTTTAAAAAAATAATTCCATTTGTTTTGAACATCTGCTTTTATTGGTATTTTTTATGTCTATATTTATCGCGTAAACTGCTTGCTTAGAGGTTTTGATTAAGCGGTGTATCAATCCAGTTACTTAAACAATCAAATAAGCAAACATTCAGTGATGGATCATATGGCAAAAGATGGGGGGGTCCTTTTGAAAAATCCCATAAGATCGTAATTAAATCATGTTTAATTCAACCGCTTCACTTTAGTTGTTGTCAAAGGACTCAGTTTTCAAGGAGGTTGAAAAGACTTTTTTTAAAAAAAAATATATTCAGCCAGCGTGAATCTTGCAAGTGCTTTTTAATTAGCCCTGGAGATTTGCAAGGAGAGGTTTGTAACAGCATCCAAAATTGGATTTTGATCACGCTGAAGATCCTGGTGGTATTAGCAACAGCAGCACAAATGCTGCAACCGATGAGGTTATTTATCTTTTTCATTTTTTTGTGATCCTTCCCAAGGCTGGTTACCAAATCCCCTGAAATGAGGCCCATGGGAAGAAGAAGAAAAAAAAGGTCTGTTGGATTTTCCAGTGCCATCCTAGATTTCTATCTATCCCTGAACTGTGAGAAAATGCTGGATAGTTGCTAGATTAACAGCCATTTTACCTGTGTCTCCTGGGACCACTTCACACACTCTATTTTTACACGCACACCTAAACCCAAAGTGTGAATGCAAGAACAAAACTGAGTGCAAATAAAATACACCATGCAGATGGCATTCCTTGAGAAGCTGGGATTTGCTGAAAGCTCTTTGCTTTGTACACCTATTTATGTTTTTATTTTCCAGCCCTGTTTTTCAGTTGGATTTTTTCCCCAAGAAGCCTTTCGGGAAGCCCCTAAACATGTGTAACTGATTTGTCCTGCTGTGCTCGCGGAAAGATTACGCGTAGGTTAGACTGCGCCCAGTCTTCATTGAGAATTCGTCCTGATTTGCTCCAGATGTTGGAGGACATCAGGCTGGCCAAGGCTGCTCTACTTGCTCATGGTTTGGGGGAACCTGGGGGTGGGGGAACCTGTGGTCCTCCAGATGTGGTTGGACTACAACTCCCATCATCCTTGAGCAGTGACCAGGCTGGCTGGGGCTGATGGGAGCTGGGATGCAAGCACATGTAGAGGCCTGGTGCTCTATATAGCACTAGTGGGGGGAAGCAGAAGATTCAGGATTCTACCTGAATCACATCCCCTATCACTTGCCTTTTCTCTAAACTAACCCCCCCATAACCATTTTCTATAGGAGTCGTTATGAATTACAATCACAGTCGTACCTAGGAAGTCGAATGGAATCCGTCCCAGAAGTCCGTCCAACTTCCGAAACATTCAAAAACCAAAGCAGGGTTTCTGACTGGCTACAGGAAGCTCCTGCAGCCAATCAAAAGCCGCAGAAGCTCCGCTGGACGTTTGGCTTCCAAAAGAACGTTCAAAAACTGAAACACTCACTTCCGGTTTTCGATCGTTCGGGAGCCAGAACGTTCTGACTCCCAAGGCGTTTGGGAGCTGAGGTACGACTGTACAGTGGTACCTCAGGTTAAGAAATTAATTCGTTCCGGAGGTCCGTTCTTAACCTGAAGCTGTTCTTAACCTGAGGTGCCACTTTAGCTAATGGGGCCTCCCGCTGCCGCCGCATGATTTCTGTTCTCATCCTGAGACAAAGTTCTTCACCCAAGGTACCATTTCTGGGTTAGTGGAGTCTGTAACCTGAAGCGTCTGTAACCTGAAGCGTCTGTAGCCCAAGGTACCACTGTAGTTCCTTTTCGTACATCTTTTTTTTATTATTAAAGATTTTCTTGATTTACAAAAGTGTGTGCAATGTCTCTCTCTCGTATTTTTTTCCCATGTAACATTTTTACAAATCAGTTTCATTTGTTGAGACATTAGGAAGAAAGGGGGGAAAGAGGCGGGGGGAGATGGGGGGGTCAGGTAGCGATGTTTCTATTTTGTTTTCGTACATCTTAAACACAAACTAGTTACTCCTTAAAATGAACTTTCCTAAGCCGAAGAGCCGCTAAGGGCAGCCCCACGTGCAGCATTAGCAGTAGTCTAGCCTCAAGGCTACAACGGCATGAGTGACACCCATCATTGAATAAACCAATTTGGTCCTGCTGCATTCGAGGACAAACTTCCCCTGCAACCATGCTCTTGCAAAGTGGCATTTATTTCTGTTAGGCAAACACTTAAAACAGACAGCTGACCTTTCCAAATGCCACCAAAGGGTGACGAGGCTTCAACCGAGAAAGGGGAGGAGGCAGGAATCTGCCTGGAAAGGGCCAGCTTTGCTCAAGGGGGTCAAACGGCTTCCTTCATCTGCGCTTGTGACAGAAGAAAACTGTCTTTTAACAGTGGAAGCATTGATGGGTAAGAACACAAGAAGAGCTGGCTGGATGAGGTCAATGGCCCAACTAGCCCAACTATCCTGTTTTCCCAGTGGCCAGGCAAATGCCTGTTGGAAACCAGTAAGCAGGATCCGAGCACAAGAGCGTTCTTCCTTCCTGTGGTTCCTAGCAAAGAGAAACACTGTTGCCTTCAACTGCAGAGGCAGAGAACAGCCATCATAGCTAGTAGAAATTGATAGCCTTCTCCTCCCTGAATCTGTCTAATCCTTAAAAAAAAAAAAATAATAATCCAGATTCCATAGTTTAACTACAGTGGTACCTTGGGTTAAGTACTTAATTTGTTCTGGAGGTCCGTTCTTAACCTGAAACTGTTCTTAACCTGAAGCACCACTTTAGCTAATGAGGCCTCCTGCTGCTGCCGCGCCGCTGGAGCACGATTTCTGTTCTCATCCTGAAGCAAAGTTCTTAACCCGAGGTACTATTTCTGGTTAGCGGAGTCTGTTACCTGAAGTGTCTGCAACCTGAAGCATCTGTAAACCGAGGTACCACTGTATGTGAATAAACTCTCTCTCTCATCTGCCCTGAATCTCCAGCGGTCAGTTTCACCGGAAGGCCTCCCACTTTTTAGATATGGGCTGCAATGGGCAGCACTTTAGAACAAGCAGCATCTTGCCAATTCTAAGAAGCGAGTAACAGCTGGAGTATTTTCTTGTTGGCTGTGAGATTGCTTGTCAAGCTTCAATATAACTTCCCTCTGTTTGGGCATTTATTTTCTGGGGGAAAGTTTTATAGTCTCTTGTTCCCCTTCTTTAAATCCTCTGTTCCCATTACAGTGGTACCTCGGGTTAAGAACTTAATTCGTTATGGAAGTCCGTTCTTAACCTGAAACTGTTCTTAATCTGAGGTACTACTTTAGCTAATGGGGGCTCCTGCTGCCGCTGCTGCGCAATTTCTGTTCTCATCCTGAGGTAAAGTTCTTAACCCGAGGCACTATTTCTGGGTTAGCGGAGTCTGTAACCTGAAGTGTCTGTAACCTGAAGTGTCTGTAACCCGAGGTACCACTGTACAGTATTTCCCAGGACACAGTTCGCCTCTTGGGATTATGTCGCATGTGACCCCCCCCAAAAAAATCTGGGGAGTAATGTTCAGAAAGGAAACAATGATGAAAGGCAGACAAAAAAAAGACTACTTCTCCCCTAGAGTGTAGTTCAACTATGGAACTCACTTCCACAAGAGGCATTGATGGATGGCTACCAACTCAGATGGCTTTAAAAGAAGATTAGACAAATTCATGGAAGATATCAACGGCTACTAGCCATGATGACTATACAGTGGTACCTTGAGTTACAGACGCTTCAGGCTACAGACTCCGCTAGAAATATTACCTCAGAAATATTACCTCGGGTTAAGAACTTTGCTTCAGGATGAGAACAGAAATCATGCTCTGGTGGCACAGTGGCAGTGGGAGGCCCCATTAGCTAAAGTGGTGCTTCAGGTTAAGAACAGCTTCAGGTTAAGAACAGACCTCCAGAACGAATTAAGTTCTTAACCTGAGGTACCACTGTATGTTCAAGAGTGAACAAGCTTGTTTTCTCCTGCTCCGGAGGGCAGGACTCGAACCAATGGCACGATCAAGTATTCCAAAAGGACTGGAGTAAATTTATACGATATCTGAAAGTTCATTGTGAGCGGTTAACATCACTAGCAGGGTTATCTGAAGACTTGTAATGAGAAATTTTCTATCTTTCTATATCTATTTAAATTTTGAGTAACAAGTAACTGTAACAAGTGCAGTTAGAATCGGAAAACGTATAAAGGTTAATTTTGAAAGCCGGGAGACGGGAGGGAAGGCTTGGAATATTGTTTTTTGAATAATGATATTGGAAAACTTCTACATTCAGTTACAAGGAAATTCAGATGGAAGAGATTAAAGGAAGTCAAGTAATATGTTTATGAAGTTGGAAGTTTAACTAATTAATTAATTTTTATTGTATACGTAGTTGTGTTTGTATCTTTGGTTATTGTTTGTTATATCTGTTTTATTTTATTTTATTTTTATTTTTCTTACTTTTGTTTTATTGATTTTATAGTATGTATTGTGTTTGTATAAAATCCAATAAATATTATTGGGGAGGGGGGGAGAGAGAGAGAGACGGGAGGGAAGGAAGGAAGTTGATAGGCTCTAAGAGCCAGGGCGGTATAGTGGATAATGATGATGTGAATATATAATATTAAATGGAAAATTTACACACACACACACACACTTGAGATTCCTGCATTGCAAGGGGTTGGACTAGATGACCCTTGAGGTCCTTTCCAACTCTACAATTCTATGATTCCTCCACTATGTGAGGCATTATGCTTCTAAGTACCAGTTGCTGGAAACCGCGAGAGGCGAGATTGCTCTTGTGCCCGGGTCCTGCTTGGGGTTTTCCACAGGCATCTGGTTGGCCAATGTGAGAACAGGTTTCTGGACTAGATGGGCCACTGGCTAGCAATTCTTACTGCATCATTTTCCTTTTTTGCAGCAAAGTTAGCTGTGAAAACTTCTGAACAGCTGCTCATCTGGGACAATAAAACATCCCCTCCAACCACACAGAACACATTTTCTATATTACAGCAGCAACAGCAAAACTGTTGTTTGTCCACAAATGGAAAATTTTAGTACTGGGAATATGGAAGATAAATACATTTTTTGCTAAAGAGCGGAAAGAACAGGAGAGTGATAGATTCAGAAAAAAAATATAGTTCCCTGTTACCCAATTTCCCCCAAAGGAGTTTTTTGCCTTCCAAATGCTCAATAAGGCTTTGATATATTTTAAGCAAAATGGTTATATTTATTGTACGCTTTCAGAATGCCATTATTTAACTTCATCAATCTGCTTATTCGATGTTACTACAATTACAGAAATGGAGTGTGTGTGTGTGTGTGTGTGTGTGTGTCTATCTATCTATCTACCATAAATTCAATTTAAGTAATCTCAAGATACTATTTTAATTCTAGATACATTTAGATGCTATTTTGAATCAAGATGGTGGATTGAATCTTCTTCTCTTTCTTTCTTTCTTTCTTTCTTCCTTTCTCAGAATTCCCAAGCAACCTTGGATACAAGGCTGCTAGTTAGGTATAAATCAGTCCTTTAAAAGTAGGAGAATAGCAAACTCTGAATGCATCAATGCCTCGAGCTGGTGGTGAAGAAAAATTGTTTATCTGCTGAAGAAATACTGCTCTGATTAAATCAGCAGAGCAACAGCCCCTTCCGCAGCCTCGCCACATCCTCTGAGCATTTCAAAGCAGGACTTGTTTTTAGAAGAAGTTGCAAAGCTTTTGAAGACTTGCTGAAAGGAGTGTTTATCTTCCCCCAAATTCTCCGCTTATTGCTGGGAAGGTGGCAGTAATAGGTGCCATTCTTCAGGGTCCTTAATCCACATTATTCTATGTTTTGAAAAATGAAAAGGGAGCTACAGAAAACATAATAATTCAAGTTACGAATTCAGAGCCAACAAACTTTCCAAGGCCTTTCGGATCAAGGGTGGTTTATCCGCTAAAAACGTTAGGGCATTCCTCTGTGGCAAAACACAGAGGCAGAAAAAAATCTTGGAATAGTTCTGAGGTCAGTCCCCACCTTGCCCCCCTCTGTGAGGCGAAATATCAGAATTTTGCAGAATACTTGTATTTCATATACCGTATATACTTGAGTATAAGCCGACCCGAATATAAGCTGAGGCACCTAATTTTAGCACAAAAAAACTGGGGAAATTTATTGACTCGAGTATAAGCCGGTTCACCACACCACAAACCTGGTGGTGGCTGCAGCGGCGGAGGAAGAACAAGCGGCCCTCCACCGCCCGCCTCACTCAAGTATAAGCCGAGGGGGGCTTTTTCAGCATAAGAAATGTGCTGAGAAAGTCAGCTTATATGGTAATCATTCAAGCTGGAAACCTTTAGGATTTCTAATTGCCCACGGCTGCTTATCTGCCCCACAACCAGAACAGAAACCAAGCCTTGATGCTGCTATAGCTTTCAGTCCTCAAACAATACTTAATTGATTACATATGGGGCGTTGGAGGGGGTAGTACCACTGGTGGGGGACAAATCATGCTCTTTCTAGGGTAGTTTGTCCCATCTGGGCCCCAACCTGCCCTCAACTCTCACCTGTGGCTTCTAGGGGGTGTCAGGATGTGACAGCAGCCACACCCTGGGAATCAGCTTCAACTGGCCAGGTAAACCAGGTGAGGGCATCCAATGGGATTAGACAAAACAGTGGATCCAATGGTCAAGACTGGGACTTCTGCACGTGCTGCAGCCCTCTAGGAGAAGGAAAATTGATCCTAAATCTCTGTTGCCTTACGGGACATCTTTGGGGGGTGGGTAAATGGCTCAGAATTAAACCCTACACAAGAACAACTAATGTTCTTCAATCAGCAGCATCAATAAAATTTATACGCCGCTTGGTTGGAGAAAACCTCCAAGCGGTTGACAAAAAGGAGAGGCAATAAAATCAAAGGAAATTTGCAACCCTGCTTTGAAACGTACAAAAGTCAAAATACTAGAACAGATTAAAATTGCCTCAACAAAGGGAAGCTCTTTTAATTTCGCTGAGGTGGGGGGGCGGTCTGGAGCAGAAGGCACAGGTCACGGAAAAGTTACGGGGGAAAGAGAGCAGTGAAACTGACAAATGGAAAGTATGATGTGGGAATCTGCACTCCTTTCTGCCTCAGGGTGAAATTAGAGGAGAGAAAGATTCACCCAGAGCTCTTTGCCCAAGCCTCTCCCTCCACCCCATCTGAACGCTCCCTTGAAGACAGCAAAAGTTGCAGCGCCTTGGGAACCGAAGATGTACAGTGTCCACACTCCCAGTGCTTCCCCCAAAGCAGTTACAGAAAGCAGAAAGCTAAAATGTGTCTTGTTCATAATCATGCCGACATTTGTTGATACTGTATGTATGTATGTATGTATGTATGTATGTGTGTATATATATAGAGAGAGAGAGAGAGTGTTCAATTGTAAAACCAAAAACCTCCAAGCAGCATGCAAATAGAATGCAATGTCTCCACCCCAAGTCAGATAGGAGAGGGAGCTACAGTTCCCATAGAATCATAGAGTTGCAAGGGAACCTGGGGATCATCTAGTCCAAATCCCCTGGCAAAGCAGAAATATGCAGCTGTCCCTTACGGGAATCGAACCTGCAACCTTGGCATTGTCAGCACCACGCTCTAACCAGCTGAGCTATCCAGAATGAAACAATAACAATTTTTGGTAAAAAATAATAATTAAACATTCAAAAGGTAAAGATAAAATGAGTAACAGGCTGAAAGCATATCAGAGTTCGAGGTATCTGGGTAAGGTTGTCTAAGCAATAATGTTTTTAGCAAGTATTATAATAAGGAATGCATGTCTAAAGTATAATACAAAAATTATTAAGGAATTATAGACACTTACAGAATGTATATATAGTAATCACACTTAAGCAAGAGCAATGTAGAGAAGCCAGAAGAGGGGTGGAGGGAAGTTAATTAGGATATGATATAGATTTAAAGGAGAATAATGACAAACCTAGACAGCATCTTAAAAAGCAGAGACATCACCTTGCCATCAAAGGTCCATATAGTTAAAGCTATGGTTTTCCCAGTAGTGATGTATGGAAGTGAGAGCTGGACCATAAAGAAGGCTGATCGCCGAAGAATTGATGCTTTTGAATTATGGTGCTGGAGGAGACTCTTGAGAGTCCCATGGACTGCAAGAAGATCAGACCTATCCATTCTGAAGGAAATCAGCCCTGAGTGCTCACTGGAAGGACAGATCCTGAAGCTGAGGCTCCAATACTTTGGCCACTGCATGAGAAGAGAAGAGAAGACTCCTTGGAAAAGACCCTGATGTTGGGAAAGATGGAGGGCACAAGGAGAAGGGGACGACAGAGGACCAGATGGTTAGACAGTGTTCTTGAAGGTACCAGCATGAGTTTGACCAGACTGCGGGAGGCAGTGGAAGACAGGAGTGCCTGGCGTGCTCTGGTCCATGGGGTCACGAAGAGTCGGACACGACTAAACGACTAAACAACAACAACAACAATATTGTTAAGCTGTATTGTGTTTAAGACATTTGGAAAAAATTAATAAAAATTATTGAGGGGTGGGAAGAAAAGAGTTCAAGGTATCTGGGTAAGGTTGTCTAAGCAAAAATGTTTTTAGTAAAGGTAAAGGGACCCCTGATCATTAGGTCCAGTCGTGGCTGACTCTGGGGTTGCGGCGCTCATCTTGCTTTATTGGCCGAGGGAGCCGGCGTACAGCTTCCGGGTCATGTGGCCAGCATGACTAAGCCGCTTCTGGCGAACCAGAGCAGCGCATGGGAACGCCGTTTACCTGCTTTCAAACTGCTAGGTGGGCAGGAGCAGGGACCGAGCAACAGGAGCTCACCCCGTCGCGGGGATTCGAACCGCCGACTTTCTGATCGGCAAGTCCTAGGCTCCGTGGTTTAACCCACAGTGCAACCCGCGTCCCAAAAATGTTTTTAGCAAGTGCCAAAAAGAGTACAGTAGAGGCACCTGCCTGGTCTCTCTCCAAAGTCCTAGTCCGACACTCTGATCCATATGGGACGCTGGCTCTCTATCCATCTCAATAGCACCACTTGATAAAAGATGTCTTTGTCTGCAGGTGCTAGCCAGCAGCCTTTGGAGGGGGCAGGAAGGGGAAGAATGAAAATGCAGTCCTGGCAATGATTGTTTGGGTTTCGACACGTCTCTTCTCCCTTAGGCATCTGCAACACTGCGAGCTTCATTCATTAAACCGAAGGCAGATGTAACAATGGCGGTGGCTGAACGTGAGATGTCACAAAACGAGAATGACAAAGGCCATGACTATGCCTCAGGGCTGGACTCCTACGTGCAATTTATTTGAGAGCCAGCCTCACTCTTCATACTCTGGGCTTAATTCAGAATAAAAAGCAATTGGTTTGCCTGCACGTCCCCATTGTTTTCCCGTGCTTTGCCCCAACTGAAGAACAAACGGAAATTAAAAGAGCTTCTCTTTGTTAAGGCAATTTTAATCTGTTTTTCAGTATTTTGACTTTTGTATGTTTTATCTTAGATCTGAGTCCAACGCACTAGAAAAAAATTCCTGGGTTACTGGAAACAAAAACACCCAGAAATTTTGCCAAATTTTAAAAATCTACCTTGACAGAAGTTTTAATCCTGAAAAAGAGGGCGTGTAGCGGGGGAAAGAGGACATATGGCAATCAGACCTGAAAAAGAGGACGTGTCCTGGAAAAGGAGGACATATGGCAACCCTGTGTGGCCCTCAGGGTTCCTTCCAACTCTACAATTCTATGGTTCTCCAAGCATCTCAAGGTGGTGTATGTGGTTCTAGCCCACGAGAAACCTTGCAAGGTGGGTTAGGCTGAGAGGCGATGCCTGGCCCAAGGCCACACAGTGAGCTTCAAGGCCAAGTGAGGATTCAAACCCTGGTCTCCCAGCCCTTAGCCTGACACTCTAACCACTGCACCACACTGTCTGTTGCTGTTTGTGGCGCTGCTACACCTGCAGAATCCCAGGGATTGTAGTTTGTTCAGCATCTGGGTCTTTTCATATCAGCAAAGGTGTTCCAGAAGAAATTAATAAATGCAAACAACAAAATAAACAAGAAGGTCACTGACCTTTGGGAAAAGGGAGAAGGTTTCGTTGTCGATGGTGAAGGAGTACAGAAATTCCCCGTCATACCACAGGTTCTTCCCCACCGGAGAGTTCTCTTTCGTCATGGCAAAGAACCGCCCAGGGTCACAGCAGTCTTTCAGTAGTTTCCTAACGGAGAAAGTTGAGTAGAGAAAAAGAAAACAAGACAACTGAACGAGACCAATTGATGAGAGCCCAACCGAGATATGCTAGGATTTGAACCCAGGGCCTTCAAAGCCAGTGCTCTAAGACTGAGCTACAGGCCTTCGGTGGACAGTCAGCATGGCCAAAGGGTGAAAAGGACGGGTGTTATGGTTCACCAGCAAATAGAGGGCCGCGGGATCTATACAAAAATAAATCAGTACAATCCACTAACATGTTTCAAATGCCTGCCAACTTTACTCATAATATGACTGCCACAAGACTGTCATTTACTAGCCTGCTGCTGGTTACAGACACCTTAATATCTGAAGTTCAATCTGGATAAGACTAGGGAACTATTAGATGGGCGGCTCCCTAAACCAGATGAATGGGAGGTGTCCTGGTCTGGATGTGGTTACAGTTCCTCTGAAGGAGCAGGTATGCAGTTTCGGGGCACATCCCTCCGCAATCTACTCCACCCGAAAAAAACCTTTTGGTGAAAAGCAGGTGTGTAGAACCTCTGCCCTGCCAGGCCTTGCTGAACTACAACTCCCATCATCCCTGGCCATTGGCCCTGCTTGCTGAAGCTGGTGGGAGTTGTAGCTCAGCAACACCCGGAAGACCAAAGGTTCCCAACACCTGGGGAAGAGAGAAAGAAATATCCTGCTCATCAGCTCGACACGAAGAGGAGAGTATTCTGAGCATCCTGGTGCCTGGTATATACAGTGGTACCTCGGGCTAAGTACTTATTTCGTTCCGGAGGTCCATTCTTAATGTGAAACTTTTCTTAACCTGAAGCACCACTTTAGCTAATGGGGCCTCCTGCTGCCGCCATGCAATTTCTGTTCTCATCCTGAAGCAAAGTTCTTAACCCGAGGTACTATTTCTGGGTTAGCGGAGTCTGTAACCTGAAGCATCTGTAACCCGAGGTACCACTGTAATCGACAGTGTTCTATATGGCAGGAGGTGCTTGCATCCACTTACAAAACCCAAGAGGACATTTCCGCTTGATTCTATTCCAGTCTAAAACCTGCCCTGATGGTAACCTGCCGGGAACCTCAAAGCCAGCTTGCAGAGATGCCTGCTGGCTGCTGAACTTTCCCAGTTCCTGCCATCTGCTGCTACTGCCACACAAGCCCTTTGTCCTGCCCTCTTCCCTGCAGTTCTTCCCATGCGTCTCTTTGTCACAAAGCCTGCCCTTTGAAACAGCCCTCCTACAGATAATGGAATTACTTCTTCATCATGCAACAAATAATTCCCCCCACCCCACTTTCTATTCTTGGTTCTCAGCTTCCTAGTACTGAGACAGAAAAAAATGATATATAAATGGATCTCTTTTAAAGCACCTGGAGATTTTAAACCCCCCCCCCACAAAACCCTGCCGGTTACACAGCAGTGGAGATTTGTGCCATGCTGCTAAATTCAAAACGAAGGCATCAGTACAAAATTATACTAACCTGTACTTTCGGCCAAAATAGTTATTGTTGAGCAGTATGCAATGCAGAATAAAAGCCCTTATATATATCTGGATACTGTGATCTATTGAGCTGTTTCTCATAAAATGGTAATCCAAAGCATGGCGAAGCATGAATGAGAGAAAAGGAATGTATGGAGTGAAAGCTACCTAAAGCTAAGCAATGGACTAGCTTACGTGTTCTGCCCAAACTCAAGCTGATGGGTTGTCTCACTTCAGACAAACCATGGGTTGTAACCAAGGTTTGTTCTTGGTTTGTTTGTTGTTAGGAGCCCTTGAACCACTGAGCCTCCTGGGCTTGCCAATCAGAAGGTTGGCAGTTCGAATCCCCGCAATGGGGTGAGCTCCCATTGCTCTGTCCCAGCTCCTGCCAACCTAGCAGTTTGAAAGTACACCAGTGCAAGTAGATACACAGGTACCGCTATGGTGGGAAGGTAAACGGTGTTTCCATGTGATCTGGCTTCTGTCACAGTGTTCTGTTGCGCCCACAACGGTTTAGTCATGCTGGCCACACGACCCGGAAAGCTGTCTGTGGACAAATGCCAGCTCCCTTGGCCAGAAAGCAAGATGAGCGCCACAACCCCATAGTCACCTTTGACTGGACTTAACCGTCCAGGGGTTCTTTACCTTTTTTTTACCTTTACTAGTTAAGTACTGGTACTAGGTTAAGTTTACTTCTTGCAAGTACTTTAATAAAATCCCAACTCTTAGCTATGTATATAAATTTATTTTAAATGAATTGAATACAGTGGTACCTCGGGTTAAGAACTTAATTAGTTCTGGAAGTCCATTCTTAACCTGAAACTGTTCTTAACCTGAAGCACCACTTTAGCGAATGTCCCACTGCTGCCGCGCCGCCACCACGCAATTTCTGTTCTCATCCTGAAGCAAAGTTCTTAACTCGAGGTACTATTTCTGGGTTAGCGGAGTCTGTAACCTGAAGCGTCTGTAACCTGAGGCACCACTGTAAAACCCAAATCCCAATGTTTAGCTGTCTATGTAAATATATTATAAATAAATTGAATAAAACCAAAGCCCAATGCTTGGCTATGCATCTAATGCAGGGAGGAAGAACCTGGTACCCTCCAGATATTTGCAGGACTACATCTCCCATCATTCCTGACCACTGGTCATAGCGCTTGAGGCTGATGGGAGCTGGAGTCCTGCAGCATCTTGAGGGCACTGGGTTGCCTACCCCTAACCACGCGTGTCGCGTCTCAAACAGAACCACACACCGAATTCCAAGTGCAATGACATCATAGGACTTGAGGTGGACCTTCTTGATGCAGTTTAGCTGCTCCTTCCACCAAGCTATGGCTTTGGGGAAATGTTGCAAGCTCTGCAATCATAGCCGAGCACCTATATTTGATTGGATATGACAGATTTATGATCTTCTTAAGTGGAGCAGACAGCAGCATCTATCGGCGAGCGAATTGCAGCTCTATAAGTGCGAATCAGCAAGTCGTAATTAATGAGATGTTTCTCCTTGCTATTCTTTGGCCGCTCTGACTTTTAATTTTCATGAAGCTAGGATTTTGCTGATAGCACAATGCATTCCCCACTTAAGTGATTGGGTGTTTAGGGGTGACCTCATTAATTTCTTGCAGGATGCAGATTCAGGATCACTTGACAATGACAAGCTATTCCTTAATGGTTTCCAGTCACCTTGACCAGTGTGACCTGCAGCGGCACTTATGCGCCTGGAAACATGTGCAGGAGCTCAGCGCGGAAACTAACAGGGTTCCCAAGTCATACGGAGTGCATGTCTAAAGTGTTGGGTGTTAAAATAATTTACAAGTTGCCTTGGTAGATTCACAGGGTTAAAATGCAGGAGAACCGCTCCAATTGTCAACACCATCGTTTTCTCTTTGCACCTGACATTTCCCCATCTGGAAAACAGATTATCTAGCAGTCTTAAATGTATTATCTCCCTTCTCGCTTGCTTTTCTCACCCTCTATGGTCAGCGCTGATTTGAATACTTTGTGACTCGGTTCTGCCCAGAGATGCATATGGATTCATTCGGTGTTACAGCACAGCAGCTCCTATTAGCCTGGTGCCCTCCTGTGGTTTTGGACTACAACTTCCATCAGCCACTGGGAGCTGAAGTCCAAAACATCTAAAGTAGCCTTTCTCAACCTGCGGGTCCCCAGATGTTGTTGAACTACAACTCCCATCACCCCTAGCTAGCAAGGCCAGAGCTCAGGGATGATGGGATTTGTAGTCCAACAACATCTGGGGACCCACAGGTTGAGAACCACTGATCTAAAGGGACACCAGAGTAGTCAATTGTCTCTATCTGCTTCGCTGTTTTCTCTCGGCTGAAAACACTGATAAGGTTCTGGAGCTTTTAAAGAACAAACCATCGCGTTCCCTGCCACTACGTCCATATGATAGCCATTGTCAAAGATCTAAAGGGCTGTCACACGGAAAGTGGAGCAAGGTTGTTTTCTCCTGCTCCTGAGGGGTAGGACTTGAACCAATGGCTTCAAGTTACAAGAGATTCCAACTAAACACCAGGAAGAACTGTTTGACAGTGGAACAATCTCCCTCGGGAGGTTGTGGATTCTCCTTTGGAGGTTTCTAAGCCAAGGTTGGATGGCCACCTGCCATAGATGCTTTGGTTGAGACTCCTGCATCACAGGGGGTTGGACTATTATTATTGTTATTATTATTATTATTATTATTAGACTTCCGGGGTGGCGCCATTGGCAATGGCGGACTCCCTCTGATCTGGAGGGACTAGCTCCGCGCGAAACAGGTCTTTTCCGCTACGGCGAAGCGGGGACCCTTTCAAAAATCACAGGCGGATGAAGCCTGTGACCATGGGACTCGGCGGGCACCCTTAGCGCCCCCCCAACCCGCAAAGGAACCCACTAACGGGCTCCGAAGTGAAGAGGGGAAGTGGCGCGGTGCTGAGAGTCAACTGCTTTTCCGTGGAGCGAAGCCGCATAGCCGTTGCCGGAGAGCGCTGCCTTTTTCCTGGGACAATTTGGCTTCTAAAATAATCACCCGTGAGTACTTAAATTTTGGACAATTGGACTTTAAATAAGGACTTGCGAGCAGAAAGGAATTGGACTTAAAAATTACTTCAATTTGGCACTGAAACGGGAAGGTCTAAACAGGAAGTCAGCCTTCCGTTTCTTTGTAGACAGAATAAAGCAAAGACAACGTAAACTAGAGCTCAGAAAATCACTTCTAAAAGATTAACTTTCATCATTTGAAATTGTGGAACCCCCCTTCGGAAGCAGGAGAAGAAGGGGGATCTTTTTCGGACTGTTTAAACCTGCAGAAGTGAGTTTAAAGTAAAGTAACTTTCCACCGTCCTGATCCTGGAGCGGGGTGTCAGGACTGACGTTTGAAGCTCATTGACCAGAGACAAATGTTTTTGACAGATAGCTAAAAGAAGAGAAACATAGTGATTCCACTGTTCCCCTTCGCATTTTAAAGGAACAAATATTGACAAAATATCTGAAAAAGGAAACTTTGTTGCTAGATTTGTCCTTAAAAGAACAAATAGAAGTTTTCCCCCTAGAGGGAGACTGTGAAACTGTAACTAATTCCAGGGAGCTTGCAGCTGTTACAGATTACAATAGTGGGAATAGACTTTTGACCTTGTAGGACAATGTATTCAGAAGCTCTGTTGTGTGCTCTCTGTAAAACAAATGCCCTACTGGAACAGTTAAATGAGAAGACGGATTTGATGACTAATGCGATCAGAATTTTTGAACAGGCAGTGGGAAACTATATGGAGCCCACCCAGGAATTAAATCAGGAGTGTGCCCTGACAGAACAGATGAGAGAAGAGGATGTTGCTGAATCTTGGGCGCCAGAGATGGAGGGAGCTGTGGCCCTGCAGGAACATGAGCTTTTGGATTTGACAAATGAACTTGGAAAAAGCCAGATTTGGAAAGATAAAGTTTGGACTGGTTTGGAAATGGGGGGTTGGATAGACCCCCCCTATGAAGGGATGTTTGGACTTTCCAAGTCTGGCAATGGGTCGTGAGATGTTTGGGGCTGTGGGGGCTCTTAATTTTGGAGGGATTCTGAAACATGTTTTTAAATACCACATGGAGTTTAGTGTGGACTATGGAAAAGGGGCTGATTTGTTGAAAAGGGTCAAAAACATTACCAAGCTGGAGTTCCCACAAGTGAAAGGAGAATATGAAAAAGAGCCGCGGAAGGGACATGGAAGAGACTTAAGGGCCTCGGATATAAGGTTACCAGGTTAATGCGCTAGATCAATGGGATAAAAAGGACTGACAAAACCCGGAACCAGGAGGAAGGGACGCTGGATGAAGATTGGATTGTTTTTATTTCTTTTTTTTATTACTAGGATTGTTTTATAAAATTGATGAATGTTAAAAAAATGTTGGAACGAAATTACTTGGCTCTAGCAAAAATGTTTAAAGAATTAGGTAAGAATATTATGGTTATGAGAAGTTGGTAAAAATAAGATTTAAGTTTTAAGTTTTAAGGTTTTCTATAAGATAAGATGAAAATAGATTAAGGTAATGTAATGACAGAATATTATGAAATATGGAAAGGATTTGCTGCGATAATTAATAACTAGGATACAAAAAAAGGGAGGAGGAGGAGGTCAAAGAAAGAAGGTAATGAAAGCTGAGGATTCGAGAATGATGGATTTGTTTTTGTCTGTTTGTGGTGTATTTTTGTTTTTTGAATTTGTATTGTTTGATGTGGTTTGTTTTTTCTTTGTTTTCTCTTTTTTCTTTTTCTGCTTTGTTCTTTTCTGTAATTCTAAAAAAATTTCAATAAATATCATTTTAAAAATATATATTATTATTATTATTATTATTATTAGTGATTATTTATACCCCACCCATCTGGCTGGGCTTACCCAGCCACTCTGGGCGGCTTCCAACAGAATATTAAAATACAATAACCTATTAAACATTAAAAGCTTCCCTAAACAGGACTGCCTTCAGATATCTTCTAAAAATCTGGTAGTTGTTTTTCTCTTTGACATCTGGTGGGAGGGCATTCCACAGGGCGGGTGCCACTACCGAGAAGGCCCTCTGCCTGGTTCCCTGTAACTTGGCTTCTCGCAGTGAGGGAACCGCCAGAAGGCCCTCGGCACTGGACCTCAGTGTCCGGGCAGAACGATGGGGGTGGGGACGCTCCTTCAGGTATACTGGACCGAGGCCTACCTCAGAAGGTTGTTGTGGGGATTAGATGAGGAGGCAGAGAACTACGTTTGCCACCCTGAGCATCTAGATGCCCCTGGGGTTCCTTTCCAACTCCTCAGTTCTATGATTCTATGATATGTTTCGATGGAGACAGCACCGATCTAACAAGCTGGGAACTGTATGCCTCCTCCCACAAGCACAATGCAGATGACCAACTGGATGAACCACACCCTGCACATGGGCAGGGTGCTCACACAATGACTCACACAATGCAGCTGCTAAGACTGATCACCCCTGAGCCAACTCTTCTTGGCGACTCTCCTCACGAGCAAGTGCTCCTGTCCCCACTTCACCTCTTGGGATGCAGTGAAAAGGCAGGAAAACCCAGTTTTCCTGCCTTTTCACTGCCAGCAGCTCACCCGGAATATCGGAGGCGGTGTGCATAAGACACCATACAGGCAGCGCAAAACAATCCTTAAAATGTTTAAACAGCTGCGCAGGACTGCAGGCGTAAAAACGTCTTCAAGATACGCCTGATAGCCAATAGCGAGAAAGCCTGCCAAACCTCTGATGGGAGAGCAATGCACAGTGTTGGACTGATGGCACTCAAGTTTTGTATGCGCTGTGCATTTAAAGCACACTCCCTCCTCCCCCAAAGAATCCTGGGAGCTGCGGTTTGTTGTGGGTGCTGGGAACTGCAGCACCGTTTGCAATAAATGGCAGTAGGGTTCTCAGTGTTGGTGGGAATGTGCTTTAAAGGTATGGTAAGGTAGGCTGACTGGAGCCAGAGAGTCCTAACAGCAAGATTTGCTCAAAACTTCTGCATCTAAGTTGTGCCAGAAGAGCAAGTCCACACAGCAGCTTTTGCAAACGAAAACCCTGAGCGTGACTCTTGATTAAGAAACTGTTATGTACTGAAGTTCTCACCCTGGGCCAGCAGGGGGATACTGTAGATAGTTCAGGTCCACCTATGCAAATAAGGGATCGAAAGTGACGTTCAGCGATTGGATAGCTACAGAAAATGGTTACTGTTGCGTTCTAGTGGAGCTCTATATAAGCAGGCTGTCTGAACCCTTCAGTTCAGTTCTGTTCTGGCCTGTGAATAAACAAGAGCTGTTTGAAGAATCGCTGTGTTGTCTGATATGTTCACCCACAACTTAACACTGGCGAAGAAGGTGGGATGGATGGACAACAGAGCACAGCCAGATGCAGCCACCCTCTGAGTGGAGCTGAATCACTGAGCTGAAACACCGAGTGAAATCACTGAACAGAACCAATTCAGAGCTGACCGTTCTGGCTAGAGCACTATGTTCCATCCATCGCCTCCACGTCGGCATCGGAACCATGGCTTCACTTGTGCCTCCACCGCCGTTTGCGCCAGCCTCTGAATCATGGGACTCCTACCTCGCTCGGTTCGACTGCTACCTCCAAAAGAAACAGTCTGCAGAATATTATTATCATCAATACTTCAAGCAGAATGCAAACTGCTCATCTAAGCACACAGGCACGCAGTTTTAGGTGGAGAAACATTGGGAGCAGGGCAAAAAAAAGAGGCTTGTGTTAGAATCAGAGAATCATGGCCTCTGTTTCGAAATACATTTCTCAGAGGGTGTGTGAGATCCAGAAATCTACACCAGCTTCAGGGTTCTCAATAGGTAGAAGAAGACAGGAACGCAATGCGAGTCCACCAAAGCATGCTGGAAGCCAGCATCCTGATTTCTGGACCGTGATAGCTGGTCCATGAGGATGAATGGGGCAGCTGCTCCACCAACCTCAGTTAAGCCCTCAACCAGCCTCCACCTGTCTGCCTTTCTTACAACCAGTCTGGGGGTGGGACTTCCTGTCAGCTTCCTCATCTTCTTCCTCTATCCCAGTGCTGTCCTAGAATCACAGAATTGTAGAGTTGGAAGGGATCACAAGGGTCATCTTTTCCAACCCCCTGAAATGCAGGAATTTTTTTTTTTTTGCCTGACATGGGGCTCGAACCCACAACCCTGAGATTAAGAGGCTTATGCTCTACGGAGGATGGGGCAAAACCAGAATTAGGCCACATCCACACATTACATTTAAAGCACTATGATACCATGATAACAGTCAAGGCTCCCCCCAAAGAATCCTGGGAACTGTAGTTTGTTGAGAGTGCTTTACTTATTCTTTATTATTTACTTATTCTATTTGTTATCCCACATTTTCTCCAAGTTGCTCAGGGTGGCATACGTGGTTCTCTCCCTCCTCATCTAATCCCCACAACAACCTTGTGAGTTAGGTTGGGCAGAGGGCCAGCGACTGGCCCAAGGTCACCTAGTGAGCTGCATGGCCAAGTGGGAATTTGAACCCTGGTCTCCTGGGTCCAACACTCTAACCCAGGGGTCAGCAAACTTTTTCAGCAGGGGGCCGGTCCACTGTCCCTCAGACCTTGTGGGGGGCCAGACTATATTTTTGGGAGGGAAATGAATGAATTCCTATGCCCCACAAATACCCCAGAGATGCATTTTAAATAAAAGCACACTTTCTACTCATGTAAAAACACCAGGCAGGCCCCAAAAATAACCCAGAGATGCATTTTAAATAAAAGAACACATTCTACTCATGTAAAAACATGCTGATTTCCCGGCCGGCCGCGGGCCGGATTGAGAAGGCAATTGGGCCGGATCCGGCCCCCGGGCATTAGTTTGCCTACCCATGCTCTAACCACTACACTTTTCACCCCGCTGAAATAGGAGACCCCTGTTTTCCTTCCAGAGCAACAACTCCCAGAGTGGTTTAACTACCAGTCTCTCTTTCCAGTGAACGCTGGGAATTTTGTTTACTATTCCACAAAATTTGTACACTGCTTGATTGTAAGAACCCCAAAGTGGTTTCCCAAAAGAATAAAACAATACAACTATCAGTAAAACAGCTAAAAACAAAAGTTGTGAAGATTCAAAACATTAAGATCAGCAATAAACTAAACACAGATTAAAACACACAGCAATATTTAAGATATCTGGGTAGGTTTGCCTAAGTAACGATGTATTTAGCAGACGCCAAAAAGAGGAAAGTGAAGGTCCCTGCCTGATATCGAATCAGCAGGATATCTTAGATTAGGGGTAGGCAACCTAAGGCCGGGGGGCTGGATCCGGCCCGATCGCCTTCTCAGTCCGGCCCATAGATGGTCTGGGAATCAGCGTGTTTTTACATGAGTAGAATGTGTCCTTTTATTTAAAAAGCATCTCTGGGTTATTTGTGGGGCATGGGAATTCATTCATTATTTTTTTTCAAAATATAGTCTGGCCCACCACATGGTCTGAGGGACGGTGGACCGGCCCACGGCTGAAAAAGGTTGCTGACCCCTGTCTTAGATCTTTGAAAGGAACGGGCAATAAAAAGAATTGAGGTTAGTTCCTTGAACTAATCTAATATATCTTCTGCAATTTGGCTTTTAGAAACATTTTGTTTGCTCAAATATCTTCCCTCAAAACTATTGGTCTAGAGGAGCAAGAGGAAACAACCCAAAAAAAGACAGTCCTTGGGGAATCAAAACAGCACCGGGTCTGAGCTAGCCAAGTGATCTGCAGTGCAGCCGCAAGTTTACCTTGAAATGCCTTGCAGGAAAGGTCTCTGTTATGTAACTGTCAGGGACTGCATCAGTCCAAAGTGAAACTTAGGGATGGAAATGCAGAAAAACCTCTCTCTCTCTCCGCAAGACACTCGCCCCTGACATTGTTACAGCAAGTTCTGAAAGAGGATGTCTGCTGGATGCTCTATGTTTAGCAAAGCCTGCAGTCAAAATCCGCTTGCATAACACTCTGTGTGTGTGAGGGAGAGAGAGAGAAAAAGGGAAGGCGGCTTAATATTCTGTAGGGAGAACTGCTTTAAAAATGCACTGGCTTCCAAAGAAAGTCAAACTGTGGAGGGTGAACTGATGCCAGCATCCTGGTCCAGAACTTGCATTTGGTTTGCAAAGCCCACGGAAATATACAACGGGGCTAAGATCTTCAGCTAGTGACTACCAAACATCATGATATACTGATATACAGTGGTACCTCGGGTTACAGACGCTTCAGGTTACAGATGCTTCAGGTTACAGACTCCACTAACCTAGAAATAGTACCTTGGGTTAAGAACTTTGCTTCAGTGGGGAGGGGGAAAATGGGGGGGAAATGAGGATGATGTATTTTTGATAAACTGTTATTTTGAAATTCCTAATAAAAAAAATTATTATTATTTTTAAAAAGAACTTTGTTTCAGGATGAGAACAGAAATCATGTGGCGGCAGTGGGAGGCCCCATTAGCTAAAGTGGTACCTCAGGTTAACAACAGTTTCAAGTTAAGAACGGACCTCCAGAATGAATTACGTTCTTAACCCGAGGTATCACTGTATTACCATGTCTGAAATAAGGATGGAGCTATCTTACAGGCATTGGCTGGCTTCACTCTTTTGCCCCACACTGTGATGTTTGCATAGTACACACACACATATTACGATGCACAATATACAGTGGTACCTCGGGTTACATACGCTTCAGGTTACATACGCTTCAGGTTTCAGACTCCGCTAACCCAGAAATAGTGCTTCAGGTTAAGAACTTTGCTTCAGGATAAGAACAGAAATCGTGCTCCGGCGGCGCGGCAGCAGCAGGAGGCCCCATTAGCTAAAGTGGTGCTTCAGGTTAAGAACAGTTTCAGGTTAAGAACAGACCTCCGGAACCAATTAAGTACTTAACCCGAGGTACCACTGTATTGCTAGGTCAAAAATTATGAAACCAGCATCATGATATGGACTTTTAGATGATATAGCGATATACTGCCCAGCCCTATCTTGGGAACGATCTACTCAACGGCAGAAACAAGTAATTTGATTTCTCGTGTAAAGTTAGCGCCACTTTGCTGCACAACAAACTCTTTCCTTCTTATTTCTCCTCCCAAGGGATATTCACTTGGCTTAGTTCTAGGTCAGGCTTCCTCAACCTCGGCCCTCCAGATGTTTCTGGCCTACAACTCCCATGATCCCTAGCTAGCAGGACCAGTGGTCAGGGATGATGGGAATTGTGGTCTCAAAACATCTGGAGGGCCGAGGTTGAGGAAGTTTGTTCTAGGTGCTGCTCTTGGTGCATTTAATATGAGGCTACGACGGCCATCTGCCAGGGAGGATGTGCCGTATTTTTCCATGTATAACACGCCCCCTATTTGGGGAGACTAGAATTGAAGTTCCCCTCTTGTTCCTTTTTCTTTTCCTCTTTTTCTTCTTCATCATCATTTTTTATTTGTATACCGCCTTTCTATCTTACAATACCTGAGGCGGTTTACAAGCTGAAGAAACAAAAAATGTACGTCTTATAACAATCTAATGCAATACAAAAACGTGATAATAAAACAAACTTTAAAATAAGCAACCTACATCAAATAAAGTAACATTCAACAATTATTAGAATAGTACGGAATAATAATATCAACATATGAAAGTTAAAGAGAAATCCACTCAACAGTTACAATGAATGATTTCTAAACTATAATCAATAAAACAACGGCAAGCCACAGTACATAAAATACCGTATTTTTTGCTCTATAAGACTCACTTTCTCCCTCCTAAAAAGTAAGGGGAAATGTGTGTGTGTCTTATGGAGCGAATGCAGGCTGCACAGCTATCCCAGAAGCCAGAACAGCAAGAGGAATTGATGCTTTCACTGCGCAGTGATCCCTCTTGCTGTTCTGGCTTCTGGGATTCAGAAATTTTTTTTCTTGTTTTCCTCCTCCAAAAACTAGGTGCGTCTTGTGGTCTGGTGCGTCTTATAGAGCGAAAAATACAGTAATAGAATACAAATTGAGAGGCAGAGACTAGAGGGTGGAGAAGGCCGGTGGAAGAAGGCCTTGCCTTGCTTTGTGTTTTGACTTAGATTAGTTTCCTTTATCTTTGGTATTATAAAAGATATTGGGTATTTGATATCAACTTTGGTATATATTTTTCCCCAAAACTTTAATAAAATTTATTGGGGCGGGGGAGAGAAAGAGAACAAAGATTCCTCTTAGCCTAGCATACTTCTCCCCCCTCCCCCCACAACAGTGGACAGCCGAAGTCTTCCAGAAAGTCATTTTATTTTTGATTTGATTTTACTTAGCTAGATTATTTTTGTGGCTCAATGCCTTGAGTACATTTGTTTTGTTCTAATGGACTTTTATTGCATGCATTGCAAATCGCTTCAGGACTATTTCTGTGTGAAGGGATACGTAAATCTAAAGAACTGGGGGAAATAGCGAATAACGTGAATAGTCAAGTTTAGCCTCTCACGTACCGATTAGATTAAAAACAACATCGCAATTGCTGACCAATTTAACTGCATTCGTAGTATTTTTCAGCAAAATGCGTCTGTGCTTGGGACAGACGCCCTGTTCCGTCTGTGGAGGCTGATGAGTTTTGGCCACCGGAACCCTACCCCAGTGAGAAACAGCACAAACTATTGCGAAATCCATTTTCTAAACGCAATTTAAAACTTCTGATTCCTGGTACAGACCACGTGCACTGCCGACCCCTCACCCATATATATCTCCTTGAAGCAGCTGCATTACGGAACTGGGACAGACGTTCTCATGAACACTTAAAACTTCCATTGTGCATTATGCTCTTACATGGGAGCTGTATGACTGGTGACACACTGGGCATTAGAGGGAAGACGCTTTGCTTAGTGTTTGCTTAGATTTCAACATACTTCTGCTGTTTGTTGGGCCAAAAGATTGAGGCAGGGAGCAGACTAGATGGTTAGTTGTTTGAGGGCATTTATGAGCCGCCTCCCTGCTTTGCAGGAGCGGCCAGATTAAGGGGAAGGAACCCAAGCAATACAAGATAAAATAACACTGGGGTTACATATATTTAGACTTGGTTTTTGTTCACAGGAGCTGCTTTCCATCCACATCTCAGGCTGACAGACAGCTTAAATAGATGCCCTCACCCTCTCTCCTCAGGCAATGAGGTTATTTGACCTCTCTAGCAGTCTCAGGGCAAGACAGCTCTTCTTCAGCAGCCTCATGAAAGCCTTGGGGAGGGAGAAGGAGCTACCTTAGGAACAAAGCTGAGCCCAAAGTTCTCCATAGTCAACATTTAGCTCAAAGATCCGAGCCTTGGATCAATATTATTTATTACTTATTTCATTCACATCCTGCCTTTACTCCAACAGACCTTCCAAACGACCTTATTTTCCAGGGACATTCCTGGATTTACAGAAGCTGCCCTGGTTTCTGATTTGATCCCAGAATGCCCGCTTTTCCTTAGGATGTCCTTGTTTTCATCGGAGAAATGTTGGAGGGTATGGAGTTATGGGACCCCAGAGCTAAGGAAATAAGTAACTATGCAACCTTTTGAAGACATCTGAAGACATCCCTTGTATGGGGAAGTTTTTAATGTTTAACATTTTATTATGTTTTTATACATGTTGGAAGCCAGAGTGGCTGGTTATTATTATCATCATCATCATTATTATTATTATTATTATTGAATAGGATGTCCTATTTTCATTGGAGAAACGCTGGAGAGTATGTTTTGAGGAGCTCAAGGTGGTGTACAAGATTCCCCCCTCCTCATTTAATCCCCCACAACAATCCTGTGAGGTAGGTTAGGCTGAGAGGCAGCGAGTGGCCCAAGCTCACCCGGTGAGCCCCATGGTGGGGATTTGAACCCTGGTCTCCCAGGCCCTAGTCCGAAACTCTAACCACTACACCACACTGGCTCAATGTTCTCGTTGCATGGGAAAGCACCAGATCTGTATTTTTTTAAATAAAATAAAAAATTGTGCCAACTGTTATGTATTAAGATTAGTTGCCGTTCTCACTCAGAGCCACCAGTATGCAAATGAAGGATTGAGAACTGTCGCTCACTGATTGGTTAGATAGTTGGGAGTTGTTACTATTACAAGTTGGGACGCGGGTGGCGCTGTGGGTTAAACCTTGCCTATCAGAAGGTCGGCGGTTCGAATCCCCGCAACAGGTTGAGCTCCCGTTGCTCGGTCCCAGCTCCTGCCAACCTAGCAGTTCGAAAGCACGTCAAAGTGCAAGTAGATAAATAGGTACCGCTCCGGCAGGAAGGTAAACAGCATTTCCGTGCACTGCTCTGGTTCGCCAGAAGCAGCTTAGTCATGCTGGCCACATGACCCAGAAGCTGTAAGCCGAGATATATTAAAGATAATAAAGCGAGATGAGCGCTGCAACCCCAGAGGCGGTCACGACTGGACCTCATGGTCAGGGGTCCCTTTACCTTTACCTTTACCTTTACCTTTACCTTTACCTTACTGTTACAAGTTACTTAGAATTATATAAAGCAGCCAGCTAAGCTACAGTGTGTCTAACTCCAGGAGCAGTTCTAACTGCTGTAATAAAGAGCTGTGAATCTAACAGAGCTGTGTCCTTCATCCACCTTTCCCACTATTTAACACCAATTACCAATGCCAGCTTTCATTTGATGGTGGTTTTGGGGGAGACTCTATGTAAAGTAATGCAAATTCCAGAGGATCTGTGTGTGTGTGTGTGTGTGTGTGTGTGTGTGTACACTCTCTTTCTTTCCGTCTGTTGAATGGGGACGGGAGTCCACAGCAGTCTCCGAATTCTAGACATGCCCATAGCTCCCCAAATGAGACAAGTAAGTTTTAAACTTTAAAACCCCCTTAAACTGCACTTTGGGAAGGGAGGGAGTGAGGAATAGAGGCAGAGAGAAAGAAACACAGACAGATGAAGGCTTTCCGCTCCAAGAATCTGGATAGCTTCTGGTCAGCTCTCCACAAAATGGCAATTAATTGGTTGGGTTCTCCAGCATCCATACAAAGGCCTCTTTATTTTGGCCTGCTTCTTCATAATATAGATATTACATGCCTGGCTCTCGTTTCACATGCCACTCTCCCACGAGAATTAGGCATTATGAGAAAGGGCCAGTGTATAATTTCTTTCGGAGCTGACTTGCCCCTTTTCTTGCAAAGCCCTTGCCTTTAATAAGCAGGGAGGCAGTTCTGGGGTGGGGAGACGGAAGGCGAGACTTGCTTCTCGAAGGCCGTTTGTGAAGGAGATGGTGGCTGAAGCAAAGCTGGAGCTGGACACTCAAACGTCTAGCCATTACACCGCAGAGGATGCACGAGAAAAACATCAGTATGACTACTGCAGGCATGTGGGCTCCCTCACATGCGCCTCCCTTTTGCTGGAGATGCGCCAAGGCACAGCTTGACCAGGTCAGAACAGCCACAGCTAGCAGTGGACCGATCTGCTTACAGTGGTACCTCGGGTTAAGAACTTAATTCGTTCCGGAGGTCCGTTCTTAACCTGAAACTGTTCTTAACCTGAGGTACCACTTTAGCTAATGGGGCCTCCCGCTGCCTCTGCGCCGCCGCTGTGTGACTTCCGTTCTCATCCTGAAGCAAAGTCCTTAACCTGAGGTACTATTTCTGGGTTAGCGGAGTCTGTAACCTGAAGCATCTGTAACCTGAAGCGTCTGTAACCTGAGGTACCACTGTATTTCTATTTCTCATTTTTCCAAGCTTATGTTCAGTTGCACATCTGTTTGTGATTTAGCTCACAAAAGAGCGGGAAAATGTCTAGCAATCCCAGCAGCCTTTGCAACTGCAATCCCATGACCCTTTCAGTTCCCATTATCCCTGGACCAGTGGTCCTGCTAGCAAGGGATGATGAGAGTTGTAGTCCAAAAACAGCTGGATACCCAAGTTTGGGAAACACTGGACTTCCTCTGGGGTCCCTTCCAACTCTACAATTCTAGGCTTCTATGGATCATTACTGCGCCCCAGAGCCCAGGATCAGCAAGGAAGAGCCCTCTGCTCCCCCTCCCAAACTTGCCAGGGGCAGCATTCAGAACAGGGCATGGCCGCTGGCATTCCGACGCAACATCAGGAAGAACTTTCTGACAGTTAGGGTTATTTGACAGTGGAACAGTCTCCCTCAGGAGGTGGTAGACTCTCTTTCCTTGGAGGTTTTTAAGCAGAGGTTGGGTGGCCATCTATAAAGGATGCTGTAGCTGAGATTCCTGCTGTGATGGCCTGGGACTCGGGTTCGGACTCAGAACCAGAGGAGTCTCAGTCCGCACCGGATCTCTTGCCTCCGGCATCATCTGAACCAAGTCTGGGGCCTGATCCTGAAGAGTCCCAGTCTGCGCAGGTTCCCTTGCAACAAGCACCAGCTGGGCCGAGTCAGGGGCCTGAGCCTGCCCTGGCTCCAGATGCGGGGATTACCTCGTTGCCTTCAGCTGGGCCATCACTTACAGCTGCTCCACTACCAGTTGGGTCAGGAGAGGCTGAGACGGCCTCTGGGTCTAGTAACCCACCAACATCTCCCAAGCTGCAGACACTAAGGTCTGAGAGAAGGAGAGACCTGAGTACTCGCAGGAGGAGGGCTCGCCTTCGGGCGAAACAGGGAGGTGAGTCACTGGGGGATCAGGACCGGCCGTTACCCCGACAAAGATAAAAGGCTGTTGGACCCCGCCCCAGGTTGCGGGAGCAACATTGCTGTTTGCTAGAACCTGCCTGAGACCCTGTGCCTGACCTTGCCTGGTTTCCTACCTTGTGTCCTGCCTTGGCCCTGTCGGACTGACTCCTCGCGGAATCCTTGGATTTGGGACCGGACCTGGACCGCATTGCTCGGGTTAACCCCTGGGCCCAGCACACCTGCCTAGATGACCTCAGGGTCCCTTCCAACTCTACAATTCTATGATTCTATGGTTTGACTTCACCCCCAGAGGCATACTCCACTGTCTCTCGAGACAAACAACATGCCAACAAGTAAGGGATGACTCAGTCATTCTTTGGGAATGCAGGGCGTGGAAACTCCAGGTGTTACTGGACTACACCGCCCATCAACCCTGACCATTGGCCATGCTTTCTGGGGCTAGTGGGAGTTGTAGCCCCAGAATCTGGAGGGCCACAAGTTCCCCCAGTCCCATGCAACGTCTCCCCAAAAGAAAACTTTAGCATAGCCAATGAGAGGAGATCAGAAAGAACCAAGGCGATTACAACAAACACATTCAGAAGAGGGTGAGTTTGAACTTAATTTTCACCATTCAGCCAGCCTTCCATCCCCCAGCCAGTGGGGGACTGTGCAAGTTTAAAGCATGGTTTAAAGGCAGTGTTAGAAACTGAGATATATAAGCTAGGCTCCAAATAGCACCTTAATCCTAGGTTACAGTCCCAACAAGGGAATGTCTATTTGCCAGGGGGATTGGGGTCCTTTTCCAACCCTACAATTCTACGATCTCAACTACATTGCTTGACTGTAGCTTGCTCTTACAACAATTCTCTCTTCCCAGTACGCAAGAAGGAGAAACACACACACAAGGGAATTGGACATGCTATTAACTACGGACTAAGGCAGAGGTTTGTAAACTGTGGTTGCCAAGCTGGTGCCCAGAAATCTTCACGTAATCGCAACTGGACCTGTGCCAGTAGCAAAACACGCCTGGCTAATTTTGAACACTGGCAAATGTGAGATGTGAGCAACATCTATAAAGTGCGCAGTTGGCAGAGGCTGGTTTGAAGGGGTTCAGAGGGATCTGGCTGAGGGAATTTGGAAACAAAAGTACAGGGCGCCACAGAAAACACACCAACACAGGCCGTGTGTCGCACCGTGCATTTAAAGCACTTTTGTGATACTGTGTGTGATACAATGTGCTTTTATGGTATCATAGCCCTTTTAAGTATATGGTGTGATTATGGCAATAACATATAATCATAACATCTTATGCATTATAGCAAGTTGTGACTTGAATGTTTGGAAGCCAAGATTATATATAAATACATTGTTTCTTGGATGAAACCCTTAATGTTTTCTAAAAGTAGAGTTTCAAAAAGAAGAATTATGGAGATTATCCTTTTTCTCTCTCTGTTAAAGGAGGAATGTGAAGGAAAGGCAGTTGAGGAGAGGTGAAAAAGAAAAGAAATAAAGAAGAAAAAGAAATAAAGGTGAAAAAGGAAAGAAATAAAGAAGAAAAGAAAGAGATAAAGAGAATTCTCAGAACTGTAGTTTGCAATGGGTGCAGGGAACTGTAGCTTTGTGGAGGGTGAACTATGGTATTATGTATTGTATTGTATTGTATTGTATTGTATTGTATTGTATTGTATTATTATTTTTTACTATAAGTCGCTTGGAGACCTTCGGGTGAGAAGCAACTAATAAGTTTAATAGATCATCATCCTTTGTGACAGACTCAACCTGCATATAAGAGGTAGTTCTGTGTGTGTCCATCATGTGTTCTTGCAAGCACGCAGGACATGCATAAGTTCCTACAAGAAACTGGTACCCACATCCAAGATGCGTTCAGTGCAAACAGCCCTTAGGAATCTCGCCTTTCTGCATGTGTACGAATGACAAATTGTGCAGTGGAGTAGAAAACAATGCAATAATTAAAACATGCCAAAGATCAAGTGCCATAGATTTAAATCCCTTGTCATCTAGTTCAGTACTGTCTACTTCGGTGGTTTTCAACCAGTGTGCAGTAGCACCCCTGGGTGCCTTGAATGATGGTCAGGGGTGACGTGGGTGATCCTGGTCTCTGTCCCTCTTTCCTTCCCTCCCTCCTCTGATGCCCTCTTGTGTCTCTACCTCCCAGAGGCTTGCACAGCTGCTTGTTGAAGCAGCCCTTGCTATAAGGTCCTCAGGCAAATGGTGCCTCTGGGGCTGACCAGGGGGTGCTTCCCAGGCCCCTGTGGGCACCTCTCTTTGGGGCAGGGGGCAATTCAGAGACCGGGGGGCAGCAGCAGCTGCCTGGAGGACTCCCAATGAGAAGGAAGAGGGGAGGAGGCTGTGGGAACACTCTACAAGGGAAGGGTATTTGAAAAAGGGTGAGGGGCTGCCGGCTCTGCGGGCAAGGGGTGTCATAACTGAGCTCCTGAGCCCCACAGGGATGCCGCGGAAAGAATGTAGTTGGACAAGGGAGCTGTGGACCCAAAAAGGTTGAAAACCTCTGATCTTGGATAAAATGACAAGAAGGATTCGAAAGCTGTGGGACCAGAGATTTACAGAAGATTGGAAGAAATATACAAACTATTTGAAGAGCAACTGTAATCAACAAATTACGCTAGTAGGACTACAAGAAGTTTGTAAGGAAGAATATATGAAATATTGCAAAGAAGAGAAAGAAGAGAGACATTAGTTATGATATTTAAATGTAATAGTGAAAGTAAGAAATGTAAACAAAGTGAAAAGATTGGAAAATTTTCAGATTTGTATAAGATATAAAAGTATGTTTAATAATTGTTGAAAATGATATTGTGTGTGTGTGTGTGTGTGTGTGTAAAGGGACCCCTGACCATTAGGTCCAGTCGTGACCGACTCTGGGGTTGCAGCGCTCATCTCGCTCTATAGGCCGAGGGAGCCGGCGTACAGCTTCCGGGTCATGTGGCCAGCATGACTAAGCCGCTTCTGGCGAACCAGAGCAGCGCAAGGAAATGCCGTTTACCTTCCCGCCAGAGTGGTACCTATTTATCTACTTGCACTTTGACATGCTTTCGAACTGCTAGGTTGGCAGGAACAGGGACTGAGCAACAGGAGCTCACCCTGTTGCTGAGATTCGAACCGCTGACCTTCTGATTGGCAAGTCCTAGGCTCTGTGGTTTAACCCACAGCGCCACCCGTGTCTATATATATATACACTTCTGATCTACTCCGACTATCACCAACTCTCTGGGGTCTCAGATAGTTTTCCCCAACCCTACCTGGAGACACCTGGGGCCTTCTGCATACAGGGCAGAAGTTCTTCCATTGAGCTGTTTTTCTCTCCTTAACAGAAAATGCCTGTCCAAATAGAAATGGTCGCGGTTCTGGAAAACCTCCAGGTTTTTCCATAAATTGGATGTGACAGGTGAGGAATGCGTCATCATGGAGAGAATGCAGAAGGTGGAAGGCCTCTCTCCCTCACATAAAACTACAGCTTAGGGACTATCCAATAAACCTGAGTTGCAAAAAGTTTCAGGAAGAAAACATAAAGACCCCCAAAAAACTCCCAAGGTACCAATTTATCATTTGTGGGCTGGAACATCTGGCTAGCCACTGTGAGAAAAGGATGATGGGCGAGATGGGAGTCTGCTTTGATCCAGCAGGTCTCTTTGAACGCTCTTGAGATACAAAATTCACTACTACAAGACACTGCAAGGTTAATCTAAGCTGTGATTCTGGTCTGAGAAGTCTCGTCTTAACAGGTCACTTATTCCCATTGTTTTAAACCAGAAGATATCAATGTTCCAACAGAAAGCGGGCAAAAAACCAGTGCAGTCCCTTTTGCGAATAACAGTGTAAAACTGATCGCCGGCAGGCCCTTGGTAAAATCCTTGAGTCTATTTAACACAGTGCCAGATTTATATAGGCGAAACTTCTGTGCCACATATAGATGGAAGCTTGAGTTTGTCCAAGTCAGTAGGATCTTAGTGCTGTTACTTAAATGGATTATCCCATTTACATTTAAGGTGTAAATTTGGTACCAATATTGCAAAAGAAGATACCAAGAGCTGTGCTGAATCAGGCCAAAGTCCCAATTAGTCCAACAGTTGCCTATGGAAAGCTTTGCAGCAGCATCACATACCCTCCAAAGAGTGGGCTTGCGAAAAGACGGAGTGCAAGTATGCAATGAAAAATTAAAAGATTTTATTAATTCCTTTTTAAAAGATTCATGTTTACTAGCCTGGAGTATGAGTGTGTAATAATAATAAAAAATAAAAGGTTTTATTAATTCTTTTTAAAGGATCCTAGTTAACTAGCTTGGAGTATAAATACACAATAAAAAAATTAAAAGATTTTATTAATTATTTTTAAAAAGATTCTAGTTAACTAGCTTGGAGTATAAATACACAATAAAAAAATTAAAAGATTTTATTAATTATTTTTAAAAAGATTCTAGTTTACTAGCTTGGAGTACATAATAAAAAAATATTATTTTTTTAAAGACTCTAGTTTACTAGCTCAGAGTATGAATACATGATAATAAATGGAAAGATTTTATTAATTCTTTACGGAAGATTCTAGTTTACTAGCTTTTTAAAAAAGACTGAACACATTCACAGGGGGTCTCGATGTTTTTTAGCCGTGATAGCTAAATGGACCCTCCATAGCCACAAGCAGTCTATCTCATAGGAAATTATATAGAGTCAAGCCATTAGTCCATCTAGCACAGTACTGTCTACCCAGGCTGGCAGCAGCCCTCCAGAGAGTCTTTCCCAGCCCTGCCAGGAGATGATGCGAGTTGAACCGGGCCCATTTTGCGTAAAAACCTTCTGCTACATGGGGGGTGTCAACCCTCTCGCCTTCGTAGTCAGGCAGGAGTGCAAATACCACCAGCAATGACCAGCTCCATGGTCAACGTATCTTGGTACTGGATCCATTCCTCAGCCGTGATTTGACCACGAAAACCCTTCGGACTCCAAGTGTGTCCGAGCCGAGAGAGGCGATAAAGCCCCAGCACTAGGATCTGCGCTTATCTCCAACGGTGATCCCTTGCCCTCCAATATTAACAATATCGTGCATGTGAGAAACCTGGACTTTGGGGCAGTTTGTGCCCATTTGAGCACAGCTCTCTGACCCTTAGATGGAAGATTTTGAGCTGGGTGAGGGTTCACCTATCCCATCGTCCCATCTCTGTGGGATTGGCTGGTGGCCCAGGAGGGAGTGAGGGAATCTTGGCTCGGCGCCAAGCAACAGAGTAAACGGCAAAAGGCAGGCCACGCAATGCAGACTGCATAGACATTCATCCAAGCCAAGGCTTCCGTGGAGCAGGGAGACAGGTGCTGGCCATGCTCCAAGAGCACACTGATCAGTGTGTCAAGCAGGGAACATGTTTTTCCCAGTCCTCCCCTCCAGCCTTTCCCCATGGCTGACATTAAGCATCTCCCCATTGCTCCAGGAGTTTTTCTTAATAAAAAAGGGAAAGGCAAGCCTTGAACTGATCAGGAGCTCATGGCTTTGCTCAGCCAATTCCAAGGGCCTTGGGGGAAAAAGAGTTCGATCTGTTCTTTGGGCCTGTTTTGCTCAGCCCTAAATTGTTGATTTTCTTCCCAGTGACTCTGACAAAGATACTGCCAGAGCCAATATAGTCATTCTTATTCACATGGAGAGGGTTCAGCTTTCCCAGCTGTCTAATTGCGCAACCTCTGGCAAGACACATTTTTATGCCGGCCTCAGTTTCTCATCTGTAAAATGGGAATGTTTGGGGGCCTGCCTTGTGGATGGACTACAGGGTGTGAACATGGAATGTTCTTGTAAAACACTGCTTGCAAAGCACTTCATTGCTTTGTTGTTGTTTCAAAATGGGCCCACCCCATAAGAATCCTATGGTGTTCTCTATTGCTCCCATTTTACAGGTAAGGGAACTGAGGGTGAGAGTGGGAATGAGAATGTGACTCGCCTCAGGCCGCAGAATGACTCTGTGGCAAAGATGGGTCAGGAATCCTTGTGCCTCTATTCAACGGATCGTGACAGCTTTCACTTTAATTGAAAACACATAGGGCGATGGTCCATTCCTAATTAATGCAACGTACTTGCTTTATAGGGATGCGGGTGGCGCTGTGGCTTAAACCACAGAACCTAGGACTTGCCGATCAGAAGGTCGGTGGTTCGAATCCCTGCAGCGGGGTGAGCTCCCGTTGCTTGGTCCCTGCTCCTGCCAACCTAGCAGTTCGAAAGCATGTCAAAGTGCAAGTAGATCAATAGGTACCGCTCCAGTGGGAAAGTAAACGGCGTTTCCGTGCGCTGCTCTGGTTCGCCAGAAGCGGCTTAGTCATGCTGGCCACATGACCCGAAAGCTGTACATCGGCTCCCTTGGCCAATAAAGCGAGATGAGCGCCGCAACCCCAGAGTTGGTCACAACTGGACCTAATGGTCAGGGGTCCCTTTACCTTTACCTTTTTGCCTGCTTTATAAGTTGAGCACATTTGCTTTATAGTTTGCACTGCTGTTCTTGTGCCCTTTTTACAGAGTGATCCTGCACGGCCAAAGGCTGAATAGGAAGAATCTGTGGCAAAGGTGAGGACTGGACACAGGAGATTAAAAATCATAAATCTGATGTATTGAGGTTGGGTTGGAGGCATGTGGAGCAGGGGAGAGAGATCTTCCAGAAACATCTGGAGTAGGCCAATTGCAGAGGAAATAGAAATGAAAGGAAAACAAAGTAGACTTGAATCAGCTCAGGACTGTCATTTCCTCTCGGCAGCGTGGGGGGGGGGAGAAGGGCTAGTCTCTGGGGAGGAGGGAGTGAATGATGTGGAGGGAAGCAGGAGGGAGAGTCAAGGGAAATGCTAACAGAGACATTGAACGCACTTTTATTACTTATGGAAAATCTTTCAATTAAAAAAAGATATCAAAAAAGATATAGGGATAAATGAATTAGAAATGGAATGATAAATGCAGATATGTATTTAGATATAGGGATAAATGTAAAAAGGTAAAGGTAAAGGACCCCTGGATGGTTAAGCCCAGTCAAAGGCAACTATTGAGTTGTGGCGATCATCTCGCTTTCAGGCTGAGGGAGCCAGTGTTTGTCCACAGACAGCTTTTTGGGTCATGTGGCCAGAACGACTAAACCACTTTCTGGCACAACAGAACACCGTGAATTGCCATTTACCTTCCTGGCACAGCGGTACCTATTTATCTACTTGCACTGGCCTGCTTTCGAACTGCTAGGTTTGCAGGAGCTGGGACAGAGCAACGGGAGCTCACTCAGTTGCAGGGATTCGAACCGCTGACCTTCCGATTGGCAAGCCCAAGAGGCTCAGTGGTTTAGACCACAGCGCCACCCTATACATTTATAGGGATAAATGTATTTTGATATAGACAACGTGCTATTGTTTATACGGACCATGAGTTGTGGGGGTGGCTGGGCGATAAATCCAACAACGTATATATTATGAATTACTGAAAAAGGTGAAGGAGGGTAGCATTGTGAAACTCCAAAACCCCATCTGTCCCCTGGCCAAACCCTCTGCCCACAACCCAAGCAAGACCATTACACTTCAACCTCCCCCTTCGCCAGCAATTCTCTGCCACTTTCACACAACCGGGGCAGCAGACAGGGAGGTAATCCCTGCAGTTTTGCCAGTACTGAATGTGGCAAACTTCAGAGGTGGGTCCCCAGTAAGAAAATGTACATGTAGAGACAGTGGCACAGACAAGAAAGGAGGGGGAGAGAGAGAACAAAAGAAGGGAGGTGTATCGAAGAAGGCGTATCCAAGCTCCAGTGCGGTATAGCCGTTATCAAGTGTTTCACTACGACCCGGGAGTCCAGGGTTCGTGCATTCAATAAATATGAACCAGAGGTCAGGGAAATAAAGGACAGGGCAGCAATAATCTTTGCATTCAGCTTGCGAAGGCAGCACGTGGCGGGTGGAAACCGGCCACACAATTTGTAGGCCAGACAGAATAGATCGGAAATTCTTGCAACCAGCTTTCCCTTCCTCTTGCGCCCACCCACGCACCCCCCAGCAAAAAACAAAATCTCCAATAGTACTCTTTGTATCTCCTTTATTCAGATTTGGCACAAGGGCAATACAGGAAGATGGCAGCAGCAAACAAAAGAGAGGGATTGCAAAACATTTCGGCCTGTCTTCTCCAGCTGCTCTGATGTGTAATCAAAGGGTGCTGTGCCGCCAAGGTGGCCTTCCTGGCACCCTTGCAGACCCTTTGATTGACAGCACAGCAGCACATTCTGCTCTTTATGGCTTTAATATCTTTGCTTTGTAAATAACAGCATTCTAGCAGCCAGCGGCATCCTTCCACAAGGCTTCCGGAGCAAACTTGTCCGGCATGTCCTTTTCAATGCTTTGAAAACTACCTCTCCCGCACACAGCCCAGCATTGCAGCCTGGTGAGTATTTCTAAAAGGTCACATGCTTTATCTCTCGCTCTGATACAGATAAGCCCATCATTTCCATCCGCTCAGGCTGCCATCCTGCGGAAGTTCGTTCTGCAAAGCTGCAGTGTCACAACTTGACTTCGCTTCTTATGCCGACGAATTAGCTCGGGGTTACTGTTTTGGGGGAAGAGGATCTCCAATAAAGGCGATGTAAAAATAAAGCCACCCTACCCAAAAATTGACGCACCCTTGCCTGTTTGGAAATCAGTATCTACTGAAGCCAGGAGGGATGCCAGAAGGAAAGCTCTGCAGGGGGAAATGTCCTACGCTCCATCAAGTTTTTAATTTCTTCTTATCAATAAAGGCGCGTGACGAAGGGGAGGCAGGATTCATCCCGAGGGCTAGCCCCGGCCTCCTGCGAAGGAGAGGCAAGCGCGCCCTTCCCTGCTGCTGGGTGTCCCCGTGTGCCCTTGGGCTGCCCAGCTGCGCAGCCCGCCAGTGATGCCCGGCTGGCACTCACTCACCTGAATCCGGCCACGGCGCTGCGGTTCCTCCGCCAGGCTCTGCCTTGCTGCAGCAGGACTCCCTGCACGACCTCCTTCTCGTCCGGCAGCCGGTAGACGGGGAAGATGTACAGCCAGCAGAGGACAAAGAAGCCCAGGGCGCTGGCGCCCACCGGCAGCCGGGTGCGGGGGCCTTTGCACGCCAGGAGACCCGCCGCCATCCTCCGATGCCGTTTCCCCGCCTTCCAGTCGCTCATCGGGAGCCAGCGGGCAGCTCCCGGCGCCGCAGGAGCCGCAGTCCCAACCACCACCTCATCCTCCGGGGGCGAAGAAGCGCCCCATGGCCAGGGCGCCGCCGCCGACAACAGCAGCAGCGCGTTCCTCTTCCTCGCCGATGCGCCCAGGCGCGCCGTTCCTTCTTCTCCTCCTTCTGCCGCTGCTGCTTAAAGACGCCGAGGAAAGGGGTGGGGGCTGCAAGGAGGAGGGAGGGCGGGCAAGCCCACGGGCCCCCCCATGGCTCGTCCGGCCTTGCAAAGCCTCCGCCGCCTCCCTCCGCGATTTCTAAAGAGGGAGGGAGATCCGAGAGAGAAAGAGAAAGGAGAGCGCAGCTCGCATGTGCTACCCGGCTCGCTCTGCAAAAAGCTGTGCAAAGCGCAGCGGCGCCCCGACGGAGCGGCAACCCGCCTGGGTTGTCGGCTCCTTGTCGGCTGCGAGTCTGGGGAGGGGAGGGGGGAGGGGAGGGGTTGGGATCCTCGAGGCTGAAAAGCAGCGTAAGGAAAAGGGGGAGGGGGACAGAAGGGGGTGTGGCGGCGGCGGCGGCGTCTGGCTACGGCGCGCGGAGCCTCTGCCGGGTTCCTGCGCGCTACAAGCGCCCTAGCCAAAATAAGAATGATCTCTTTTTCCCGTGCGCATTCACCCACAAATCACACCCACCCGCCCACGCATAGAAAGGGAACAGGAGAGGGGTGGGCTTGGCCACTTCGTCTCTCCGCTTTTCTCTTTCTTTTGTTGCTCTTGAGCTTTCTGCCGCAGGCAAAAAATGTAAAAATGAAAGATTTGGAGCAGCCAGCAGAGGAAAAAGAAAAGAGGCGAAGCGAGAGGTATTATTCCTAAAGAAAGAAAACGGGGATTTCTAAGGGGGTGGGGGTGGAGTTCATGATATCAAAAGCTTCTATTGTTGTCCAAAGATAAAGCGGTCAGGGGGGAGGCCGAGTTGATGTCTAACAATAAAGAAACGTCGAGGAGGAGGTGTGGCGAGAAGATCGCGCCTTCTTGAGGATTTGGGGGTTGAGAGAAGAAACGGGGCAGCTGGAAATCTTGGCCGAGGTGAAAGCGCTGCTGGAGAACACTTGCAGCCTTCTGGTGGATCAGATGCCTGCTCCGTCTACAAAGGAAGGGTTGCTGGTGGCGCTTCAGAGCGAGGGCCACATTCCCGTCTCTGCGACCTTCCGCGGGCTGCATGCCAGGGCTGGGCGGCGTTAAAGTGCAAATGAATGTATGTGATGGAAGTGTTACCTTGGTGCAGTAGGCTAGTTTCTACACACACACGCACGCACACACACCCTCTATTCTCCAGAAAACACCAGGTAAATTCAAGAACACTGTCCAGCCTGGAAAAAGCACTCAAGGAAAGTATAGGGTAGGGTTGCTTAGGGGGTGTGGCTCGGGAAGTATCATTTGGCCCCAGCCTGGGGTTTCCCCACCTGTGGTCTGCCTTGACTGACAGTAGCTCTCCAGGATATCATTCAGGGGATAATCCTACCCTACCAGAAGACACCAGGGATTGGATTTTCTGTTTACCTCAGTTACAAACGCCAGGTGTGCTGCAGACCCTGTACCAACAAGGCAGTCTCTGTGTACCAGCAGTCTGGGGTTCCAGCCCCACATTGGGCAAAAAGATTCCTGCATTGCAGGGGGTTGGGCTAGATGACCGCCGTGGTCCCTTCCAACTCTACACATCTATGATTCTATGAACCTGAAACCCACCTAGCCCCCTAACAGACCCTAATTTAGTTAATTGCCTTCTACCTCCCTCCACACTCCATCTTGAGAATCTGGGTGGTAGTCAACTGGGTGGTACCTAAAATAGAGCCATTGAAATTAATTCACAGAAGGCCCATTAATTTAAACAGGCTTACTCCTGAGTAAAACATAGCAGAATACCACCTTGGGTCATTCCATGCCAAATCACCTGATTTTAATACTCGACCGTGCTCTCACGACTCAGATTTTCTTCCCAAGAAATTTATGTGGTTATTTTATAACCACAAAAAACACCCTCCTTTTTTAAGAAGCATAACAAGTACATGGTTAGCCCATTCTACAAAAAAAGTATGATACATGTGTTAGTTGTGGTTTGCGCCCTACGGCTTATCGAACCTACTGGGAATAAAATGACAAAAATTCACTTTGAATGGTCACTGACCCTTTTCTGTGGCACTTAATACCATTTTTATACCTTATTTTGAAAGAGACCACAATTAGCTTTATTTTGATACCCAAATAAGCCCAATTGGTTGAAAAATAAGCGAAACAGAAGGTGTGTTTTTTTTAACTGACGCAGAAATTGCATTAGTCTAAATCATGCGAAAATTGAAATTTTTTAAACATTCTCCTGCGCCCAATTTTGGACCAAAACAATCTTTAAAAATTAATTTGAGGTTATGAGCTCCTGTTGCTCGGTCCCTGCTCCTGCCAACCTAGCAGTTCGAAAGCACGTCAAAGTGCAAGTAGATAAATAGGTACCACTCTGGCGGGAAGGTAAATGGCATTTCCGTGCGCTGCTCTGGTTCGCCAGAAGCGGCTTAGTCATGCTGGCCACATGACCCAGAAGCTGTATGCCGGCTCCCTCAGCCAATAAAGCGAGATGAGCGCCGCAACCCCAGAGTCGGCCACGACTGGCCCTAATGGTCAGGGGTCCCTTTACCTTTACCATAGGTATCTACACATTTATTTATTTTTTTAAGAAAATCTTTGTCGTGAGAGCACACGGCACCAGGTGATTTGGCATGGAACGACCCCCCTAGGACTCCATGACATAAGTCAAACTTCCCCCTGGCACACAAACATCTATGCTCTGTTCTAACCATTAATCTGATGAGCTATAGAGTACCTGAAAGCTTGCCAATTACTCTGTGATATTTTGGTTAGCCTAATAACAACTTTGCTGTACTGTGGATTTAGAATATTTTCTTAAAGGTCAGTAGCTTGGCTTCTGTTTTCTCTTCACCAAGTTTACAGTCTTCAAGACAACAGGAAAGAAGTGGAGAGGCAGGAAGTGAGCATGACTTTGTGGAACACCCAGGCAGGAAGATGGGACCCCACCTTTCATTTTTTATTATTATTATTTAAATTTATACACTGCCCTATACCCGGAGGTCTCAGGGCGGTTATGTCACAAGCTATCAGGCTTTACCCCTACCCCTTCAGAACAAGCAGGCATCTCACTTGAATCCTGCCTCCTCCCTGCCCTTTTTCTCTGTTTTCTCTGGTCATGAGGACTAGCGACTTGCAGAACCCACTCCAACACAGGGAGATGCTAAGCCTTCAAAGCCACTGTTATAAAGGCAGGTGAAGATTTTATTCTGTTGGTGAGACTGAATCCAATAGTCCATTCACGCGTGCAAGTCAACAAAGAGGCCAGTGTTAAGCGGTCCTGGTATAGTGCGGGGAATGTTGGCACATGATAAAAAATATCCTTTATTGACGCTGTTGCTTCCCATAAGCCCAGCAGCCTAACAAGCTTTTCTGTTTCAAGGCTGAAAAACCAGATTGCCCACTGGATCACAACACTGAGCCATCTTTCACCTGCCGAGACTTTGTTTTACTTTGACTTTTGCCTCAACCAGACTTCATGGATAATAAACAGCTGCAGCCAGCTCAAAATCATTTTCCTCTTGGCAAACACAGCTTATTCCCAATGATAAATTGGATGGGTGCGGATTTCAGCTTCAGTTGAATAATGGTATTTTAGAGAACTATGCAGTAAATAAAGACAAAAAGAGGGACTTCTCATATATATGCAGTGTTTTGCCATTCTGCGTTTATCTCCTCCAACCCCCCCCCCAAATGTTCTGCTTCCACAACACACAAAAATGTGGCTCGTGCCGGTTGCCAACATTTCAAACAGGACTCTGCAGCTGTGCCTGCTTAGCCAGTAGGAATTAGTTTCTGAAGCTAGTTTTTAAAGGGTGCGAATTGTAAAATAAAACGAGTAGCTGCTAGTTGCTGCAGCTAGCAAGGCCTACTAGATAGGCGTGTGACCCTGTGGCTTATTCCCATGAAGGAATACTGTTTTGCTTACGCTCATCTAAGCATAACCTCCAGATAAACTCCCAGGACCTCGTTCAACCTTTTCTTGATTCATCCTTCACTTCCCAAGAAGAGCATTTATTGTACAGGTGCATCCTGCTCTGTGGGACAGGCTCAGCACTCTACTTGCTCCCAGATATATGTCTAGACATCCACATACGTCATGGGCTAGTGTTGCTGATCTATCCCCCTGGGGCTGCAGAGTTTCCAGACGCAGATCGATAAAAGCCAAGCTTGATCAGAAAGGAAAAGGGTGCGTGTGTTGTGCTAATCTTGCTAGATCAGCACGGCATCAAACCAGGGTAAGGAGAACAGGGGCACATCTTGGATGTACAGATTTCAATGCAAAATCATCATCATGCACAAGGCACATGAGGGCACATCTGTCTCCATGCTAGCTCTCTGGCGCACACTTGTGGCCAAGACATCTCAGTTCCCATCAAGGAGATGCGTGGTACCTCTGTGGAGAGCTATTAGGATTTGCACTGAGATGCTTTCAAGGCAGATGCTTTAGCAGCAGGGGAGATTTGCAGGAAGTCAGCTAGTGGCAAAGATTTGCAGGGAAATGCATGTGTCTTTTTTATTCCCTTTCAACACCAGCAGAATTCATGCTGCGGTTTGGGCATAGCACCTTTAAAGCCCACTCACATGACATTTCTTGGCTTCAACAATATTGATTTCCCTCCTACACCTTTTTGGCAGCTTGATTTTGATTAACACAGAGATCAAAGGTCCGCTACATTCCATCCCAGAGAACTAAATGGCTCTGATTGTCACATGGAAAACATCTGATGATGAGTTGTGTCTTATTGTGACCCCATCATAGATAGGTATGTTTTTCATGCATCCACATTACTGGCTGTCTTGGGTCATGGCAGACCCATTCCTGTGATCAGATGCTTCCTGTCCTATCCCTTTTCCTTAACCATCTCCCCATTCAGTTTGTCTTCGTCTTTCCTGGCTGTCCAGAACCAGTGCCGCTGCCTCCTTCCCGTTAACAGCACACAGCTCTTCCTCCTCCTTGGTCCTTCCTTCTGCCGACTTAAAATTCTCCTTGCCCTCACAGAAACTGCATCTTGTCAGCACTCTGTTCATGGAACCTTCACCCTGAGAAGTCAGAATGTTCATTAGCATTCCGTGTCCTCCTGCCAGAGCAGCAGCCAATAGCCAAAGAGGTGGGCCGCCGGAACAAAATGAACCTGTGTGCATTCATTATACATATATCATACATGCTGAAGAGTCACAAATTATGGTCTATGAGCTGTCTTTGGAGGCTGCTGGGAGCCTCTGATCTTTTCCTTTGATATTCATTTTCCTCTTCTTCTAGAAGCAGCCTTGCTGGGATTAAAGAATACCACCCATTGCCTTCCTCTCTGCCTCCAGGGTGGCATGACTGCTAATTTCCT